GTAGGTCTCTGAAAAAAATATTCTTTAAAAAATCCACGCCTTGTGCAGGTCTCTGAAAAGATATTCTTTAAAAAATCCACGCCTGGTTGGATGGTCCCTGAAAAAATATTCTTTAAAAAAAGCACGCCTTTTGTAGTTCCCTGAAAAAAATTCTTTAAAAAAGTCTTAAAATCCTATATTTTTTTCGTTACACTCGATTTTTTTATTTCGATTTTAATTATTTCAAATATTATAGTATGCGGTATCATGACGACTTATATTATAATAATCATACACCTCCACCGAGGCTGGTTTACGCTTTACGACATCGTCGAGCTTATCAGCCATGACCGTGAAACAATTATCAATATTTGCTGATAGCTTTTCAGAATACACAATCAAAGTGGTGTCTGAATTTTTCAATTCAAATCGATTGACCAGTTCCTTTTTCAGCAATTCGTTGGCGTAGTCTTCATTGGTTGCGAAACCGGACGGTAGATTGACCTCCATAAGTATTAGCTGTGTTGCAGTCGAATTATCATCTTCACGATAACTAAAACATATTTCCAATCTCAACAATTCCGGATTCACCAACTTCGCCTTGGGATTTATACGAAAATGTACGAATTTATCCTCCAAAATGGTGTTATAGTGATAGTACAACTGGACGAAAGCATTGCCCGAACCGATGACTTCAATGTCTATGCCACGAGTTGATTTGGGGAACTGAAAAACAGATGGGATAAGTTTTTGAAGGAAATATATCAAGAACTCATTCCTTACCTCTTCAATTTGTAAAATTAATAAATTATTTTCATCCACCTGCAGTTCTCCGGATTTTACATTTTGTGTGCGGAAATCTTTCGCGGAATATTTTACACGCAAATTTTTCGTGTCCAAAGTATTATATTTCTCCGAATAGGCCACCAATGCCTGCAGACCCACAATGGTATCATGTGTCGACTTAAAGCCACCACGTTCATTGCGTTGTTCCGTCAGCCATGTGAAAATCTCATGCTCTTCTCGAGCATTTCGAGTCGGGGTTTCCAGCAACAGCGCCAATAGGACATATGCAGTGATTTCAACATCATTGGCATGATCACAATGATTTTGTGACCACCATATGCGAGCATCGGATCTTTGCTTTTGTTCTTCCAGTTTATCGAGGACTTTTGAGGCATTGGCATGTTGAGCCATTTGCATGGCCATGGCGATTATGGAAAGGGCATAAATATCTGTATTACTCTCCAAATTATCGTTCAGGAACTTCAGGCCATTGTCAATGGTGCCCTTATATTTTTCGGCCAAATTCTGAAAATAGGAAGAAAAAACAAACGATTATATAGAATAGGAAGCAGCAGGCCTCCTCTTGGCCTACTTCTATTCTATAGAAGTAGGAAACAGCAGGCCTCCTCCTGACCTACTTCTATTCTATAGAAGTAGGTCAGCAGCAGGCCTCCTCCTGACCTACTTCTATTCTATAGAAGTAGGAAGCAGCAGGCCTCCTCCTGGCCTACTTCTATTCTATAGAAGTAGGAAGCAGCAGGCCTCCTCCTGACCTACTTCTATTCTATAGAAGTAGGAAGCAGCAGGCCTCCTCCTGACCTACTTCTATTCTATAGAAGTAGGAAGCAGCAGGCCTCCTCCTGACCTACTTCTATTCTATAGAAGTAGGAAGCAGCAGTCCTCCTCCTGACCTACTTCTATTCTATAGAAGTAGGAAGCAGCAGTCCTCCTCCTGACCTACTTCTATTCTATAGAAGTAGGAAGTAGCAGGCCTTCTCCTGACCTACTTCTATTCTATAGAAGTAGGAAGCAGCAGGCCTCCTCCTGACCTACTTCTATTCTATAGAAGTAGGAAGTAGCAGGCCTCCTCCTGACCTACTTCTATTCTATAGAAGTAGGAAGCAGCAGGCCTCCTCCTGACCTACTTCTATTCTATAGAAGTAGGTCTGGACCTGACCTCCTGACCTACTTCTATTCTATAGAAGTAGGAAGTAGCAGGCCTTCTCCTGACCTACTTCTATTCTATAGAAGTAGGAAGCAGCAGGCCTTCTCCTGACCTACTTCTGTTCTATAGAAGTAGGAAGTAGCAGGCCTCCTCCTGACCTACTTCTATTCTATAGAAGTAGGAAGCAACAGGGCCCCTCCTGACCTACTTCTATTCTATAGAAGTAGGAAGTAGCAGGCCTCCTCCTGACCTACTTCTATTCTATAGAAGTAGGAAGCAGCAGGCCTTCTCCTGACCTACTTATATTCTATAAAAGTAGGAAGCAGCAGGCCTCCTCCTGGCCTACTTCTATTCGCCTTTGTCTTTTCTGATACAGCCCAAAATACTAGGTGAGATAAGTCTGCGGGTATCCGCCACCAGCTCGCAAATCGAAGACGGTGTAATACTTCTATAGAAGTAGGGAGCAGCAGGCCTCCTCCTGACCTACTTCTATTCTACAGAAGTAGGAAGCAGCAGGCCTTCTCCTGACCTATTTCTATTCTATAGAAGTAGGAAACAGCAGGCTTCCTTCTGACTTACTTCTATTATACTGAACAAAAATCTGGCCTTTTATACATCACCTGAATTGCTCACCTTATCCTCCAAGAATGCCATCAAAATAAACTACCATAAAGATTTTGTTTATTCGGATTTAAAAGATAACCCGTGCAGGGGAAACTACCATCCCGACGCTGTGTACTAGCCAAGTATGACAATCCCGAATCGACAATATGAGCCTCCATCACTGGTAAATATTTCGTAGCTTTGATGAAAAATCTCACCACATAAGCAGTGAGCCATGTGCTTGGCTCTGCATCATTCGCCTGGCCAAATACGCTATAGCCACCGTTCGAATGGCGATATGACAGCTGTTGCTGATAACGAATTTCAAGGAAATTCTTTAACTTGGCCATCAGCTTCTTTTCGGTGAAATCTCTTCCAGTGGCTTGTAGATATTGCAGAACTAAAACATTTGCAGCAAAATTCACAATATCCTCTTCTGCCGAACCCAAGGGTATTACTACCAAATCATTGAGGTTCTTGAGAGTTGGAGCCAAGGGATCGCCACTTATCGAGAGTGTTATGACCTCTGATTGTGGCACAACATCATGGGGCAGATCTATGTGGAATAGAGTTCGTATCGTTTTCCCAGACCAGCCATTTATATACAATGGGGTATGGCGCCGCCTCATTACGCCTTCCGGTTCTACACGAAGTTTACGTATTACACCGTCTTCGATTTGCGAGCTGGTGGTGGATACCCGCAGACTTATCTCACCTAGTATTTTGGGCTGTATCAGAAACGACAAAGGCGCTGTCGTAAATGATAACAATTTTAGGCTTTGAACACATTTATTATCATCACAGCTGATTTTGGCTTCGCCCTGACCCGGAACCAACAAATCGAAATCTCCATCATCATTTTAGAGGGTAATTTCCAAATCTAAATCTTCTTTGCGATAATTATAAGCCATGAGAGGTATGGTTGCCATATCACCACGTTTCACCGAATAGGGTAAATGGAGGCGTATGTAGAAGTCAAGATTGTTGGATATATAGGTGGGCCGATTTATTATGCCCAGGCCAGTTTTTTCGTTTAACGAAAATGCTGTTATAGACCAGGAGGTAATGGTATCGGGCATTTTAAATTTCAGGTGGGTGATATTGTTGCGGCTGAAAAGAAGGAATTATATTTTCAAGGGGAATTCACTAGGGTCGAATATGAAATAGAAGGTCCTAATAGAGAAGAATATTCCCTTGGGGACCTGATATTCTAGACTGAAGTAGATGAAGCATTCCTGACCTATTTCTAATCTGTAGAAGAAGTAGACCCGACGTACTTCTCTTCCATAGAATGAGAAAAAACAGACTGGACCTACTTTTATTCTATAAAAGAAGAAGTAGGTCCCACCAACTTCTATTCAATAGAAGAAGAAGCTGACCGGACCTACATTTATTCTACAGAAAAAAAGTATACCCGACCTGCTTCTATTCTATATAGGAAGAAGTAGACTCGACCTACTTTTATTTTATATACCTAATCTACTTCTATTCTATAGAAGGAGAAGCAGACTGGACTTCCCTGAAAGACCTGGTCTTCTAGAATATGTAAAGCCTTATAAAGGTATACGGTTCAAAACTTACATTTCATAATTTTGAAAAATCCATGTTTCTGGAAATCGTTCACGATATCTGAGAGGTTTTGCTCTAGATGAAATCAATGCAGCACGGCTAGCTGTAGCAGGACTCTCAGCTTTTTGAGCTAAATATTAAAAATATATTGGTATAATAAAACAATTTCGAAAGAAACATACCACTAGCTGGCTTAAATTCATAATGGGCATTTGTAAGGGTAATAACACCGGATAGCAGACCCGGATAAACGGAAGCTGGAAATGGTAGAGTGGAAACATCAGCTTTCATTGAGGCCAGAATTGTATCACGATTTAGATCATATGATGGATCAAAGAAATAAACACCAATATCGACGGCCAATAATCCGATCAGACTTCCAGCTTGAGCTTTCACTTCGAAAGTGACCTCCTGACCTGGTTTTGTTTCAGTGGGTGCAGTTACATCAACCTAAGGACGATGAAGTCGAAATCAATAAGGTTTCACCGTTTTACTTAAGTTACCTTATTTTCAAATTCCAACGGTAATTCCAGATCCAGTTCAGCATAACGCAGAATTCCATCCTGAATAAAGTGGACATAAACAAAGCCATGATTTATCATTTCTAGGGATGGTATTAGTTTTATGGTATAGGTCTTATGGCCAGCAGGAACATAGATACGTTCGGCATGGATGATATTCGAATGACCCATAATTGTGTAAACCAAATAGGGTATTTCCACCGAGGAGTTCACCACAATCTCCAGCGGTTCATGCAACCACGGAAGGCTGAAAATGTGATAGAAAATTAATACAGGAAAGGTATCGACATGAGGCGCTGATTTTTCAATCCTTCATCACAAGGTTGATCAGAATAATATAATAAATGTCTATATCCGTCTGTTAATATCCCGATAGAGCTAACAATATTAAATATTGTTAAGCGCTGTACACTATTTTCAGTGCACCCTCTAGGTCCTTCTTGAAGAGGCTATAAAATAAAATATGTTCTACTTACGCATTCTTTTTTATTTTCAGGTTCAAATATGAATCCGATTTGTCGGCCAACGAGTTATCGCCAATTTGGTTCGCTAAGTTAAAGGTAGAATTTCCAGAGCGGAATAAATGTTGAGCATTTGGATTATGATCAAATTCAAACATGCCCTCTCCACTTGAATTCAAATTTGCACTGTATTTCTTATCGCCATGTTGCATAATGACCGAATTTGATCTATCCAAAACCGCAGCCCTGTGCAGCCTATATTTCCGAACATGTATCACTTTCTCTTCTCGGTAATCATATTTACCGCCTATAGTGACACGTATTTTCCAATCTGCCGTAAGCGGATAGTGGGAAAGTTGAAATTCCCCGGTGTAAACGCTCGACGAGATGTCAACATCGTTGTAAAGGCGAACACGATTTATTTGACCATCCTGAAAAAGGAGAGGAAGAAAGAAAGCAAAACAGGAATTAATTTTGTTCTCGTCGCTTTACGTTACGACACACAACAGACATATAGAGTAATAGCGACAAGGACCTACAATAGGAAACCACATGGAGCTCAAATAAAAACTATATAAAACCAGTGAGCGGAGCAGTATAGTCGGACGTGGCCGACCATATGATACCCTACACAACTTCCACGATAATCTAACTTTCTGTGGTTCTATATTCTGAGTTTGGGCAATATTTCGCGATATTTGCACCCTCTTGACCGACTAGATGTCAACAAATATTTCTAATATTTTGTAGACGAGGGCTGTACTTGTCCAGATTCTCCTTACCGTGAGTTATGTTGTGATGTTGGGTTTTCAATTGTGGCCTATAGATCGGCTCGAAAAAAAAACACCAAAAAATAACTTTTCATCCCAAATAACACTTCATCCCAAAATTATTATCTGATCATCACCGAAAGTTATAAGCGTTGTCCTTGACCATACCTGGAACTTCATAGAAAATTTCAAAGCGATTAGCGCTATTCCCCGGTATCTACTGTGGTAATGGGTTACTAATAATATCTCAGTACGTAAGCACCCGTAAATATTTAAGTGTAACTCCCACATCTGAGTAAATACGACCATATAATTGGTATCACATGTCTAGATCGACTCAGCTAGTCGAGATATGACTAGGACCAATATTTCGCGGCGTTACAAACTCTTGGGGCTGCACAAAGCTATAATACCCTGACAACATAGTTGTGTAGGGTATACAAATCCTAGGAAGCGATATGGGATCTGCAATTTAGAAACATCGTTTTCCATGGTTTTTCAACCTGCTGTTGGATTTGTCTAAACCTCACTGACTACAACCTTCCTTAAAAGGCAATCTTTGGCGTCTTCATTGGGTTCAGGGCAACTTCTAGGTCCACATTTTCTGCACGTATCTTCGCCATACCATAACATTTTCCTCTAATTATATGTATTCATCTGTAAGATATTATCGAAGCGCTACAATCAGTCTCCTTGCTCCTACTCCCCGTTTAATTTCCTTACTTTCTTCTTCAAATCTTGAACCATCATACATTCACAAATCAGCGCATAACCTGAATATATACATCTTACGTACAAATGTTCATTATGACTCTTCAGATCGGCTAGCACTTTAATGTCTTTCGCCGTTGCTTCTCAACCCATTGTTGGGTTTGTCTAAACTCCATTGACTACAATCCTTGTTCAAGGCAACCTTTCGGCTTCTGCATCTGTTTACAGGGTACCTTCTAGGTAATTTTCCTTCGCATGTAGCTCTATATGCCTGTTTCCTCTAATTTTCTGCATTAATTTGTAAGATTTTGTCGAAGCACTAGAATCACTCTGGCTCTTTCAGACTTTTTTGTCACACCTCGTTTCTGTGCCTCGTTAAAACTTTGCACGATTCAGCACATAACCTGAAGCTCTTACAATTTGAAAGACCATGTTCCGATATGTTGTCTTCCACTTGATCTTTCCATCGGATTCATGGATTTTCCCTTCTGCGTGAACCATCAGTTGGTTCGCTTTTATAGGCCTATTGTGTTGGGGCATTCTCATCTATTCTCACAACATGACCTTGCCATCGTAGTCGCTGCAGCTCGATACGCAAGACTATGATGATGCTCGAGAATAGATGGTACAACTCATGGTTCATTCGACGGCGATATTCAGCATCGACGCAGATCGGACCATAGATCTTTCGGATAAATTTTCTCTCAAAAAAGCTAAAAGCTGCCTCATATGCTTGTGCAAGTACCCATGCTTCAGATCTATATAACAGCACGCGTCATGTAGTGTGTGAGTTTGGTCTGGCGAGAGGTAGCCTTGTTTTTGAGTTGGTTATTCAGACCATAGTAGCATATGTTGGCCAATAATATTCTCCTCCGGATTTCAAAGCTGTTGTTATTAGTTTTGTTTATGGAGGTACCGATATATATAAAAGCAGACATGGCTTTATACACCTCTGAACGGATATGGCTGTCGAATACGGCTTTATAGTCGACGAATAGTTGGAATATGTCGATGTGTTTTTCGTGGGTCTTTTCCAGAATTTGGCGCAGACTGAAAATCTGGTCAATGGTGGATTTGCCAGGTTTGAAGCCGCGTTAGTATGGTCCAATAATTTCTTTGACTATTGCATTAGTCGTTCACACAGCACGCTGGATAGCACTTTATATACGATGTTAAGAAGACTTATTCCTCTATAGCTAATGCATATCGTCTTGTCTCCTTTTTGTGCACGGAACAGAGGAGATGCTGAGTTCCAATCATTTGACATACATTCCTCTAGCCAAATTTTGCTTTTATATTATTATCGGGCAAGGAGTGCGTTCGTCTAAGTAAGCGAACCGATTCAGAACGAAATTGTCCACGAACTACTCGATCGATTTTTATACCTTACTCAACTATGTTGTCAGGGTATTATAGCTTTGTGCAATCTCAAGAGTTTGTAACGCCGCGAAATATTGGTCCTAGACCTACCCTTAAGTATACCGATCGTCATATCTCGACTAGCTGAGTCCATCTAGACATATGTGTCCATCCGTCCGTCTGTCCATTACAATTTGTAAACACGATACAGGCCACAGCTATGGACCAATCTTCACGAAATTTTGCAGGTAGGATGGGTTCTGGCCAATGAAGAACCCTATTGTTCTTGGTAAAGTTCGCTTAATATTTAGGGGGTGAAATGGACCAAATATTTAATTTTTGTCGGGTTTTCTGGTCGCTCCAGAGGCCGCAATTATGGCCCGAACATAGCAACATTTTAAATGGAGAAGGGGGTTGGGCCAAAGAATAAGCATAGCTGTTTTCATAAAGATCGGTCTATATTTAGCGGGTCAAATAGACCCTGACTTTTGTGTGAAAAATTACAAAATTTTTATTCTGGGGCGTATATATTTACTCCGAGGAGTTGATAGTATATCCAAGAGGAATGGTTGGCCTTTAAATTGATACCAAATATTGTGATGTATCTACTCAATTTCTATGAAGTTCCAATTATGGTCAAGGACAACGCATATAATTTTTCGGTGATGATCAGATTAAAATTTTGGGATGAAGTGGACCCAAAAATTATGTTTTTTTTTTTTTGAGTTTTCTAGTCGAATAAAAGCCGAACATCAAACACAACCCACCGTGAAGAGAATCTGGACAAGTAATTAGAAGGGCTGTACTGAATATTTGTATTATTCGGAAAATGTAAAGAAGATGTGCTGTTGACCTATAATCGGTCAAGGCGGGGCAAAAGTCACGAAATATTGTCCAGGCTCGGAATAAAGTTAGGGTTCGTGGTAGTGGCGTAGGATATCGTATGGTCGGCCCCGTCCGACTATGCTGCTCCGCTCACTGGTTATTTATGTGTATGTACTGAATAGTGAAATCTAAAAATTATATTATTGGCCTACTAAACAGGTTTTGTAGGTGGAGGAAATTTATTTAGAAAAAAAACCTATTACTGCGGTGCTTCCCGCAATGTAGGTAATGTCTTGAGGTAATTGATATGTACATTTTTACTAAAAGATCTTATTCTCACTTACCATAATTTCAATTCGCACAGGATCATCAATCTGCAAGGGTCTTGTGTGTTCATCCAATATTAAAACACGATATTGTACTTGTTCGCCCGGTCTATATACGGCCTTGTCAGTTTGTATGCATACTTTGGGTCCAACATTATGATGGGCAATTAAAGGACTTTCATTGCGAAACACTTGACCACTACTAGCACCCTCAACGACTAGTTTATGAGGACCTTCAACCAATTTCTCTGGTCGAAAAATAGCAGATTTCGTTTCATTGGGTTGCAAATAAACAACGTTGTTCATTTGATAATAGGGACCATTGATGCGAATATTAAATTTTGCCTGCTCCAGAGCCTCATGAAGCGTTACCACCACCGTGTAATTGCGAAAGGGCTTAATAACGCCGGGGGCAATAATCGAATAGTAGCTGCATAATAAATGATGTGATCAATAAAATAAGCAAATAATCCTTTTCATGGTGGCTAACTTACCTTTCATTTGCACCCTCAACCTGCATGAAGAAGCCTAACACCAACACAAGTAAGGCGAATATTTGCTGCATTTTATTTAAAAAATATTACACCGGCTCAATGAAGCCGGTCTTATGTTTGGCCCGAACGCCGAATTGTAACTGAATGTGAATGCTCTATAGACAGGTTTGTATGTTCAGAATGTTAATTTATTCTCCATCCAGAAAACACACAAAACAACAAAACTGAAAAGGTGTTCTGAACTGGTTTGTTGAGGATGGTCAAGCATACAAACTACATTTATAATTAGACAAAGGATTTGATAATGCATCTGTAAGCCTTTAGTATTTTTCAGCGTCCTACTATGAATGTTTGGTAAACTGATACTTGGTCTCTCTCTCTTGTGGCTCTTCATAATATTTGTTAAGGGAACCATTCTCGATTTTAATTTTTCAAGATTTTGAATGGGCTGGTAAATCAATACCAATGCTTGTTAAGGTTTGTAACTTTGCACATATATATATTTGCAAATTTAAAAGAGAAGAAAAATAATTTACAAAAAAAATTATGTAATTGTTTTGTTGTTGTTTTTTGTAATTAAAGAAAAGTCCTTTTGATGGCGGGCATGATAACTCCTCACTGGAAGATCGGAATCCGAAAATTCCAAGGGTGTTAGAAAAAGTACATGCCTGGCTCTCGTATGAACTAGGATCATTGACTTCGCTCTAAAATTAACAAAATAGTGGACCTTTGAAAAAATATTTTTGGAAAATCACCGATTTTTGACCAAAAACCAAGTTAAAAAACCAGTGAGCGGAGCAGTATAGTAGGACGGGGCCGACCATACGATACCCTACACAACTTCCATGAAAATCTAACTTGTTGTGGTTCTATATTCTGAGATTGGGCAATATTTCGCAATCTTTGCACACTTTTGAAAATTTATTATCTGATCATCACCTAACATTTTAAGCGTTGTCCTTGGCCATAAATGGAACCTCATGGAACATTTCAAAGCGATCAGCGCTATATTTCCGCCCTCCAGTGTGGTAATAGGTTACTAAATAATATATAAATACGTAAGCACCTGTAAATATTTAAGTGTAACTCCCGCATCCGAGTACCTACGACAACATAATTGTTATCAATTTAAAGGTCAACCACTCCTCTCGGATATACTATCAACTTCTCGGGTCTATGTCCTTCAGTGGTAAATATATACGCTATAGAATACAAATTTTGTAATTTTTCACACAAAAGGCAGGGTCCATTTGACCCGCTAAATATTGACCGATCTTTATCAAAACGGGCATGCTTATTTTTTGACCCGATCCCCTTCTCCATGCAAAAATTCGCGGTGTTTGGGCCATAATTGCGGCGTCTGGAGCGACCAGAAAATCAGACAAAAATAACGTTTTTGGTCCATTTCATCCCCTAAATATTAACCGATCTTTTCCAAAAACAATAGGGGTCTTCATTGGCCAGAACCCATCCTACATGCAAAATTTCGTGAAGATTGGTCCATAACTGTGGCCTGTATCGTGTTTACAAATTATAATGGACAGACGGACGGACACACATGTCTAGATCGACTCAGCTAGTCGAGATATGACGATCGGTATACTTAAAGGTGGGTCTAGGACCAATATTTCGCGGTGTTACAAACTCTTGGGGCTGCACAAAGCTATAATACCCTGACAACATAGTTGTGTAGGGTATAATTATCCTCGGATCGGAGTGCCCTTCTGCGACGTAGTACAATCTTTTTGGCCCCGTCACTCAATGAATTGACTATTAAAGTAAAACGCGTACCTCTTCGTGGCTGTCACAGTTACGAGACGGCCGTCCTGTCATATTTTCTTCGAGAGTGACTTAAGCGTTACCCACGATTTACTTGTTCCGGTGACAATGTTGTACTGTTTCAGGTGGTTTAACCAATTTTTTCCTTTTGTGCTTGCATACTAGCCTGTTGACTTCAAGGGTAAGTTCTCGCAACCCTGGGTCTTCAGGGGTCGTACAACGGAGCTCCTCACGTTCATTTGCCAGTGCCGTTGCCTCTGTTGGGAAATTTGGTCTTACTTCGGCTATTCGACCAGCAGGCATGAATCGAGCGGCCGCAGTAGTGGTGATTTGATGAAAATTTCTCTCCCATGGTTCAGGAAAGTACAGCGTTCAGAGGTCGGTTGGCCTGTTGACGGACACGATGATAGGAAGGTAGTTTGCGCCGAGTGAAATGGCGGGTTGCTAGGATCCGTCATTTATCTGACTCGGTGCCACAATAGTTATGTCTGGCGAACTGTGTCAGTCTCCACACATCCTCATTAACCGTGTCAAATGTTGATCTATCAATTTGCTATAGAAATCTTCTAGTACCAGGCTATTATTACCTTCTAAAAGCGGACTTATATCCGGCAAATAAAGCGGTAACATTTGACACCTCTACCTCCGCAGTTCCAGACTTGACTGCAACCTTCATACCGATGTATAGGGGCTACCAGAAAAAGTGAACCTATACATATAATTTTTAGTTGAGAAATGTAGTACACAATAAGAAGCCAAAATGCACCGATATAGCCCATCTACAAACTTAACATGCCTACAATGCTTTTAAAAAAAAAAAAAAAAATTTTATAAAAACCAACCCTCATTGGATCTTGATTTTTTTAAACCAAAATTTCTTATCATTACTATTATTGTTCTGTATTATTTATTTTATTTTCAAATTCTCATCCAGCATTTCAAATACTATAGAATGCCGTATCATGACGACTGATATTGTAATAATCATACACAGCCACCGATGCCGGTTTACGCTGTAGGACATCGTTAAGCTTATCAGCCATGATCGTAAAACAATTATCAATATTTGCTGATAGCTTTTCAAAATACATAACCAAAGTAGTGTCGGAATTTCGCAATTCTATACGATCGACCAGCTCATTATCCAGCAATTCATTACCGTAGTCTTCATTGGTTGTAAAACCGGAGGGTAAATTAGTCTCCATAATTATCATATTTGTGCCGGTCGAATTGCCACCTGCAACGGAGTTAGCATCCTGACGATAACTGAAACAAATTTCCAAATTCAATTCTTCCGGATTTACCAATTTCGCCTTGGGATTAATGCGGAAATGTTGGAAATCATCTTCGGAACTGATGTGATAATGATAATACAACTGCAGCAAGGCATTACCCGAACCGGAGGCTTCTACGTCTATGCAGCGGGTGTATTTGGGAAACTGAAAAAGGCAAAGCAATTAGTTTTTTGAGAAATATTTCCGAAACACCCTCCTAACCTCTTCCGTCTGTAAAATCATCACATTATTTCCATCCACCTGCAATTCGCCAGATTTCAATTTTTGTTTGCGGAAATTAGTTGCAGAATATTTTACTCGTAAATTTAACGAGTTTAAGGTATTATATTTCTCCGAATAGGCCGCCAATGCTTGCAGACCCACAACGGTATCATGTGTCGATTTAAAGCCACCACGTTCATTACGTTGTTCCGCCAGCCATTTGAAAATTTCTTGCTCTTCTCGAATATTTCGGGTCTGCTTTTCCAGCAAAAGGGCCATCAGGACATAGGCAGTGATCTCAACATCTTTGGCATGATCATGATCATTTTGTGACCACCATATGCGACCATCGGATCTTTGCTTTTGTTCTTCAAGTTTATCGAGGATTTTTGTGGCATTGGCATGTTGAGCCATTTGCATGGCCACGGCGATTATGGAAAGGGCATAAATATCCGTATTACCCTCCAAGTTATCGTTCAGAAATTTCATACCATTTTCAATGGTGGATTTATATTTTTCGGCGAATTTCTGGAAATAATAAACAAAATAAAATAAGAAGAAGAGTCAAAAAAGAAGCAGGCCTGGCTACTTCTATTCTATAGAAGAGGAAGCAGTAGGCCTCCTGACCTACTTCTATTCTATATAAGTAGAAGCAGCAGGCCTACTGACCTACTTCTATTCTATAGAATAGAAGAAGCAGCAGGTATCCTCCTGACCTACTTCTATTCTATAGAAGTAGAAGCAGCAGGCCTCCTCCTGAACTACTTCTTTTCTATAGAATAGGAAAAGAAGCAGCAGGCCTCCTCCTGACCTACTTCTATTCTATAGAATAGGAGAAGCAGCAGGCCACCTCCTGACCTACTTCTATTCTATAGAATAGAAGAAGCCGCAGGCCTCCCCCTGAACTACTTCTATTCTATAAAATCGGAGAAGCAGCAGGCCTCCTCCTGACCTACTTCTATTTTGTAGAATAGGAAAAGCCGCAGGCCTCCTCCGGACCTACTTCTATTCTATATAATATGAGAAACTGCAGGCCTCCTCCTGACCTACTTCTATTCTATAGAATAGGAGAAGCAGCAGGCCTCCTCCTGACCTACTTCTATTCTATAGAATAGGAGAAGCAGCAGGCCTCCTCCTGACCTACTTCTATTCTATAGAAGTAGAAGCAGCAGGTATCCTCCTGACCTACTTCTATTCTATAGAAGTAAAAGCAGCAGGAATCCTCCTGACCTACCTCTATTCTATAGAAGTAGAAGCAGCAGGCCGCCTCCTGAACTACTTCTATTCTATAGAAGTAGAAGCAGCAGGCCTCCTCCTGACCTACTTTTATTCTATAGAATAGGAGAAGCAGCAGGCCTCCTCCTGACCTACTTCTATTCTATAGAATAGAAGAAGCAGCAGGCCTCCTACTAACCTACTTCTATTCTATAGAATAGTAGAAGCAGCAGTCCTCCTGACCTACTTCTATTCTATAGAATAGGAGAAGCAGCAGGTCTCCTCACCTTCTAGGTGAGGCCTCCTGACCTAGTTCTATTCTATAGAAGTAAAAACAGCAGGCCTACTGACCTACTTTTATTCTATAGATGTAGGACGCAGCAGGCCTCCTGATCTACTTCTGGAGGCCTCCTGACCTCTATTCTATTGAAGTAGAAGCAGCAGCAGGCCTACTTTTATTCTATAGAAGTAGCAGTTGACCTGAATTCCTAAAAATATGGAAGAAACAGGAATGACTCACCTTATCCTCCAAGAATGTCATCAAAATAAATGCCGCACCACCAAAACGATTCTGTTGAGCCGGATTGAATAGATAACCAGTATAGGGGAAACTACCATCACTACGCTGGGTACTGGCCAAATATGTCAATCCCGAATCGACAATATGAGCCTCCATCATGGGTAAATATCTCGTAGCCTTAATGAAAAATCTCACCACATAGGCGGTGAGCCATGTACTTGGCTCCTCATCATTCGCCTGACCAAATACACTATAGCCTCCATTCGAATGACGATATGACAGCTGTTGCTGATAACCTACTTCAATGAAATTTCTAGCCTTGGCCACCAGTTCCTTTTCCTTGAAATATCTTCCAGTCGCTCGCAAATATTGTAGGACCAAAATATTCGGTGCAAAATTTACCATATTTTGTTCTCCACAACCGGTGGGCATTAAAACCAACCCATTGAGGTTCTTGAGCGTTGGAGCCATATTATTGCCACTCACCGAGAGAGTAATGAACTCCGATTGGGGTACAACATCACGGGGGATATTTATGTGGAAAGTGGCCTTTGTCTTCTCTCCAGGCGAGGCACTGATATATAAAGGCTTTGTGTGCCGCTTAATCATTCCCTCCGGTTCCACACGAAGTTTTTGTATTACACCATCTTCGGCTAGAGAATTTGTGGCAGCCACTCGCAAACTCACCTCTCCAACTTGTTTGGGGTTGATAAGGAAGGCCACACTGCCAACACTATTTGCAGGAACCTTAAGCCTCTTTGCCCGTTTCATGTCTTCCGAACCTCGTTTGGGATTGAAGATGATTGTATCCATAAAATAAAATTCTCCAGCCTCATTGTAGAGAGTAATTTCCGATTCAACTTCTTGTTCGAGGTAGTTGTGTACGAGGACTGGTATGGCCACAATTTCACCCCGTTTCACGGAATAGGGTAAATTGAGGCTAATGAAAAACGGTTGTATTGTGGTTATATCGGTGGGTCCTTTCACTATACCAAGACCGGTTTTTTCGTTTAGCGAAAATGCGGTGATCCGCCAGGTGGTGATTGTTTCGGGTATCTCCAATTTTATCTGGGTTATATTGTCAGTGCTGAAAATAAAATAAAAAGATTTTTTAAAGGATTATTTATTTTTAAGGGTGGTGGATATTTAAAAAAATATTTTTTAAAGGACCATCAGTCGAGGATTTAAAAAAAATATATTTTTTTTAAGGACCCTGATGGTGTGGATTAAAAAAAATATTTTTTAAGGACCATCAGGCGTGGAAGGACTTACATTTCATAATTCTGAAAAATCCATGTTTCCGGAAACTTTTGACGGAATTTTAGAGGATTGACCCCAGCGGGACTGACCGCAGTATGGGCTATAAATAAATTAATAATATCGATTAAATTTGTAGAATATAAATTTTCCAAAAAAACGGTCTTACCATTTAGTGGGACAAATGCATAATGGGCATTGGTAAAGGTAATAACCCCAGATAATAGGCCAGGATAGACCAAAGCCCGAAATGGCAAAGATGAGACATCATTCATTAATGAACGCAATATGTCCATACGTTTGAGATCGTAGGAAGGATCCAAGAGATATACACCCAAATCGACAGCCAATATTCCGACCAGAGATTTGGGCTCCGCCTTCAATTCGAGAGTGACTTCTTGACCCGGTTGTACTTGTTTGGGAGCATCGACGCTAACCTAGAAAATAATTTGGGTGAACATACAAATACTTTGTTTTTGTGGGTTCGATTTACCTGATTTTCAAATTCCAATGGAAATTCCAGCTCAATTTCCTCATAACGCAAAACCCCGTCCTGAATATAATGAACATACACATAGGCATAGGGTACCATTTCGATAGATGGTATTATTTCTATGGTATAGGATTTTTGGCGCCCTGGCACTGTAATGCGATCAGCATGGATGATATTCGAGTGACCCATAATTGTGTAAACCAGATAGGGTATTTCCACGGTGGATGTTACCACAAGTTCCACGGGTTTACCCAGGCGAGGAAGGCTGGAACGAGAAGAAAACAAAAATTAAGACTGGATTTTTAAAGAATATTTTTTCAAATAGGCGAGGATTTTTTAAGAACTATATTTTTCAAAGCCTATACAAAGCGTGTATTTTTCAAAGATTAATTTTTCAAGGCGTGGATTTTTATAAAGATTCATTTTTCAAGGCCTATCCAAGGCGAAGATTTTTCAAAGATTAATTTTTCAAGGCCTATCCAAGGCGTGGATTTTTCAAAGATTAATTTTTCAAGGCCTATCCAAGGCGTGGATTTTTTAAAGATTCATTTTTCAAGGCCTATCCAAGGCGTGGATTTTTTAAAGATTCATTTTTCAAGGCCTATCCAAGGCGTGCATTTTCTAAAGATTCATTTCTCGAGGCCTATCCAAGGCGAAGATTTTTCAAAGATTAATTTTTCAAGGCCTATCCAAGGCGTGGATTTTTCAAAGATTAATTTTTCAAGGCCTATCCAAGGCGTGGATTTTTCAAAGATTAATTTTTCAAGGCCTATCCAAGGCGTGGATTTTTTAAAGATTCATTTTTCAAGGCCTATCCAAGGCGTGGATTTTTTAAAGATTCATTTTTCAAGGCCTATCCAAGGCGTGCATTTTTTAAAGATTCATTTTTCAAGGCCTATCCAAGGCGTGGATTTTTTAAAGATTCATTTTTCAAGGCCTATCCAAGGCGTGGATTTTTTAAAGATTCATTTTTCAAGGCCTATCCAAGGCGTGGATTTTTTAAAGATTCATTTTTCAAGGCCTATCCACGGCGTGGATTTTTTAAAGATTCATTTTTCAAGGCCTATCCAAGGCGTGGATTTTTTAAAGATTCATTTTTCAAGGCCTATCCAAGGCGTGGATTTTTTAAAGATTCATTTTTCAAGGCCTATCCAAGGCGTGGATTTTTTAAAGATTCATTTTTCAAGGCCTATCCAAGGCGTGGATTTTTAAAGATTCATTTTTCAAGGCCTATCCAAGGCGTGGATTGTTTAAAGATTCATTTTTCAAGGCCTATCCAAGGCGTGGATTTTTTAAAGATTCATTTTTCAAGGCCTATCCAAGGCGTGGATTTTTTAAAGATTCATTTTTCAAGGCCTATCCAAGGCGTGGATTTTTTAAAGATTCATTTTTCAAGGCCTATCCAAGGCGTGGATTTTTTAAAGATTCATTTTTCAAGGCCTATCCAAGGCGTGGATTTTTTAAAGATTCATTTTTCAAGGCCTATCCAAGGCGTGGATTTTTTAAAGATTCATTTTTCAAGGCCTATCCAAGGCGTGGATTTTTAAAGATTCATTTTTCAAGGCCTATCCAAGGCGTGGATTTTTTAAAGATTCATTTTTCAAGGCCTATCCAAGGCGTGGATTTTTTAAAGATTCATTTTTCAAGGCCTATCCAAGGCGTGGATTTTTTAAAGATTCATTTTTCAAGGCCTATCCAAGGCGTGGATTTTTTAAAGATTCATTTTTCAAGGCCTATCCAAGGCGTGGATTTTTTAAAGATTCATTTTTCAAGGCCTATCCAAGGCGTGGATTTTTTAAAGATTCATTTTTCAAGGCCTATCCAAGGCGTGGATTTTTAAAGATTCATTTTTCAAGGCCTATCCAAGGCGTGGATTGTTTAAAGATTCATTTTTCAAGGCCTATCCAAGGCGTGGATTTTTTAAAGATTCATTTTTCAAGGCCTATCCAAGGCGTGGATTTTTTAAAGATTCATTTTTCAAGGCCTATCCAAGGCGTGGATTTTTTAAAGATTCATTTTTCAAGGCCTATCCAAGGCGTGGATTTTTTAAAGATTCATTTTTCAAGGCCTATCAAAGGCGTGGATTTTTTAAAGATTCATTTTTCAAGGCCTATCCAAGGCGTGGATTTTTTAAAGATTCATTTTTCAAGGCCTATCCAAGGCGTGGATTTTTTAAAGATTCATTTTTCAAGGCCTATCCAAGGCGTGGATTTTTTAAAGATTCATTTTTCAAGGCCTATCCAAGGCGTGGATTTTTTAAAGATTCATTTTTCAAGGCCTATCCAAGGCGTGGATTTTTTAAAGATTCATTTTTCAAGGCCTATCTAAGGCGTGGATTTTTTAAAGATTCATTTTTCAAGGCCTATCCAAGGCGTGGATTTTTTAAAGATTCATTTTTCAAGGCCTATCCAAGGCGTGGATTTTTTAAAGATTCATTTTTCAAGGCCTATCCAAGGCGTGGATTTTTTAAAGATTCATTTTTCAAGGCCTATCCAAGGCGTGGATTTTTTAAAGATTCATTTTTCAAGGCCTATCCAAGGCGTGGATTTTTTAAAGATTCATTTTTCAAGGCCTATCCAAGGCGTGGATTTTTTAAAGATTCATTTTTCAAGGCCTATCCAGGCCATTTTTCAAGGCCTATCCAAGTCGTGGATTTTTTAAAGAATACTTTTTTCAAAGCCTATCGAAGGCGTGGATTTCTTAAAGATTCATTTTTCAAGGCCTATCCAAGGCGTGGATTTTTTAAAGATTCATTTTTCAAGGCCTATCCAAGGCGTGGATTTTTTAAAGATTCATTTTTCAAGGCCTATCCAAGGCGTGGATTTTTTAAAGATTCATTTTTCAAGGCCTATCCAAGGCGTGGATTTTTTAAAGATTCATTTTTCAAGGCCTATCCAAGGCGTGGATTTTTAAAGATTCATTTTTCAAGGCCTATCCAAGGCGTGGATTGTTTAAAGATTCATTTTTCAAGGCCTATCCAAGGCGTGGATTTTTTAAAGATTCATTTTTCAAGGCCTATCCAAGGCGTGGATTTTTTAAAGATTCATTTTTCAAGGCCTATCCAAGGCGTGGATTTTTTAAAGATTCATTTTTCAAGGCCTATCCAAGGCGTGGATTTTTTAAAGATTCATTTTTCAAGGCCTATCCAAGGCGTGGATTCATCAAAGAAAAAATTTTCAAGGCCTATCCAAGGCGTGGATTCATCAAAGAAAAAATTTTCAAGGCCTATCCAAGGCGTGGATTCATCAAAGAAAAAATTTTCAAGGCCTATCCAAGGCGTGGATTCATCAAAGAAAAAATTTTCAAGGCCTATCCAAGGCGTGGATTCATCAAAGAAAAAATTTTCAAGGCCTATCCAAGGCGTGGATTCATCAAAGAAAAAATTTTCAAGGCCTATCCAAGGCGTGGATTCATCAAAGAAAAAATTTTCAAGGCCTATCCAAGGCGTGGATTCATCAAAGCCTATCCAAGGTGTGGATTTTCAAAGAAAAAATTTTCAAGGCCTATCCAAGGCGTGGATTCTTCAAAGAAAAAATTTTTGAGGCCTATCCAAGGCGTGGATTCTTCAAAGAAAATTTTTTCAAGGCCTATGCAAGGCGTGGATTCTTCAAAAAAAAAATTTCAAGGCCTATCCAAGGCGTGGATTCTTTAAAGAAAAATTTTTCACGGCCTATCCAAGGCGTGGATTCTTTAAAGAAAAATTTTTCACGGCCTATCCAAGGCGTGGATTCTTTAAAGAAAAATTTTTCACGGCCTATCCAAGGCGTGGATTCTTTAAAGAAAAATTTTTCACGGCCTATCCAAGGCGTGGATTCTTTAAAGAAAAATTTTTCACGCCTATCCAAGGCGTGGATTCTTTAAAGAAAAATTTTTCACGGCCTATCCAAGGCGTGGATTTTTTAAAAGGATATTTTTTGAAAATTCTTTTAAAGGAATTTGTCTTTACTCACCTCTCATCCTTCAGCCCCAATGTAAAATACGATTCCGTCTTATTGCCAAACGAATCATCGGCAAAAATATTGGACAATTTAAAGGTGGCATTCCCAAAGCGGAATAAATGATTGGAATTTTCATCATGATCGAAATCAAATATTGCCTCTCCCTTCGAATTTAAATAGGCACTGTATTCCTTGTCGCCATGCTGCATTACGACCGGCATTGACTTATCCAAAACCGGTGCACCACTCCAATAATTCACTGTGGCTGTCAAACGATAGGGTCGACCTTTTTCGAACTGTATAGTATCGCTCGATACATAAATATTATACGGCACATCATGCAGTGACATAAAAACCTCTTCACTCTTGGTCATACCGGTATGTTTTTCCGACAATTCAACCTGTAGCTTAAAGCCATACAACTTCAATAAATCCGGATCGCTGAGATCGAATTCAACACCGACCGTATCCTTAACCACAACCTGTTTTTCCTGTAGAATTTTATTGCGAACATTATCGATTAGTCGAGCCGTTACATTACCCTCCACATATTTATCGAAGGTGTATCGGCCATATATTAAGGCCTTAATGCGATCCATATCGCGAGTTAAAAATAATTGGGTTTTAATGTAGACACTAAACTTGGGGAGGACATATTTCAGGACACGTATACGCTTCTGTTCACTGTAATCGTATTTGCCGCTGATAAATACCCGTATATACCAATCACCTAAAACCGGATATTCGGATAGTTGGAATTTACTGGTGTAGAGGCCCTTTACGAGTTTTATATCCTTGAATTGTTTGATACGATTTTTAGCACCATCCTGGAGGAGGAGAAAAATAGGAATTATTAAAAGATACTTCTTTAAAATATACTGCCTCCCCATCCGTACTTACCATCACCTCAACCCGTATCGGTTCTTGAATCTGCAATGGCCTTGTATGTTCATCTAATATCATAACACGAAATTGCACCTCATCACCAGGTTTGTATACAGCCTTATCGGTTTGTATGTATAACTTCGGTCCAACATTATGATGAGCAAATAGAAAACTTTCATTGCGGAACACCAGGCCACTCACCCCTTCGACGACTAGTTTATGTGGACCTTGAACCAGTTTTTGAGGTATAAAAACAATTAACTTGCTTTCATGCGGCTGCAAATAGACATCATTGCTCATATGGTAGTAGGGTCCCTCTATGCGGATGTTAAATTTTGCCGGCTCCAAAGAATCGTGCAGCGACACCATTACCGTATACTTCCGATTGGATTTAATAACACCGGGTGCAATTATTGAATAGTAGCTGCAAAATTCCAAAATAATGTATCCATTAAAATTTCTATCCTCCCATGCAGCCTAACCTACCTTTCACCCATACCGTCGATCGGCATAACGCACACACCCCACATCACCAACACAAGTAAAGCGACTATTTGTCGCATTATATTCCAAAAAAAGAAATACTTCGTTACTTCACCAGCTCAATTATGTTATGGTTACGATTGTCCGGACGCTAAAGTAGAACTGAATTTACATTGCGTATAGAAGCTCCGACTATGCTGTAATTTTTCGTTCTAGTCCCAAAAATGTGACTAACAACAAGGAGATTAACATACCAATCAAAATGATGCAGCTGCAGCAGATCAAACAAAAGGGGATTCCTGTAAAACTGGATTTCTGTACGGGACAGGTTTGTTTAGGATGGTCAAGAATGATGGCACAATGAACATACATGTTCATAGTTAAAGGATTCACCAACCATGTGATACGCATACGTACATAGGGTCGAATTTTGTATACCCTACAACAAAAAAGAAGAAATTTTGAATGGAACCTGTATAAACGAGAATCAGATAGGTTTATAGACAAGCTTCATCTCAGCCAGTCTTTATGTTCGCACTGAAGCTCGTGGAGTCTTTATAGATGAAACGAAGCTCAGGACGACTTTATAGACGAGCTGAAGCTCAAGGATTATATTTTTTTTACACGCACTGAAGATTAGGGGTCTTTATAGACAACCGGAAATTAGCTTAGGGCGAGCCCAGAAGACTTTTTGGACGACTGGAAGTCAGGGGGTATTTAAAGACGATCTGATGCTCAGGAAGTATTTATAGACGAACTGAATATCAGGAAGTCTTTATAGACCAGTTAAAGCTCATGGGGTCTTTGTAGACGAACTGAATCGCAGATAGTCCTCACTTTAACATGAGCTGGAGCTCCGCGAGTTTTAATAGATGTGCGTAAGCCAAGATGCCCTTACCGATACTCAGGATGTCACTAGAGATCAAGGAGTCTTTATATCCGAGTCGAAGAACCGAATCTTTATAGATGAACTGGATATCAAGAAACTGATTCTCATTAGGTCTTTTTTGATGAAATAAAGCTCAGAAAGTCTTTATGAACCAATTGGAGTCATCATCGACGAGCTGGAACTCATGGAGAATTTTTTGATGAACCGAAGCTAAGGGAGTCATTATTAGCAAGCTGATGCTCAGGGAGTCTTTAGCTCAGCATTTGAAAACGAAGAGAAATGAGTTTTTATAATCGAAGTGATGACCTAAAAGGTGCCTTTATAGACGGGCTAAAGTTCAGGAAGTCTTTATACACAGACAATTTCAATTCCAGAAGACTTTAAAAGCAGACTGAAGCAGATAGGCTGGTGGAGACTTTATGGACGAACTTAAGTTCTGGGAGTGTTATAAATGAAGGCATGAAGGTCTTCTTAAAGATACATTTCTCTTCTCCTAAAAAATAATAACTTCTGGTCTTCTATAAGGAGGACATCATTGTTTTATCCATTAAAATCCGACAGAGCTCCCAATATTTAAGATAAAATGTTGAAAATCTCCACATTCATTACTAATACACGTGGATTTTTTGGTATTGAAAATGGGATATATCGGCAGACGTTTTGGTTAGCCATACCACCAAGTATTCCGTAACGTCCATAAAATGGGACTTCCAAAATTTGGATATTTTAGTTTGAACACGTTTTTCAACCAAATTGGCTGATATTTTTATACCTCTCACCACACTGTGGTACAGGTTATTATGTCTTTGTGCATATGTTTGTAACAGGCAAAATGAAACGAGGTAGACACATGGTTCCTTTTGAGAATATGCGTAGAATCACTTTCTAAGTCGATTTATGCATGCCCGTCCGTCCGTCTGTCCATGTTAAATTGTAAACAAAGTACAGGTCGCATTTGTAATTTATTTGGCCCAAGGACGAACCCCATTGAAATTGGGGAAAATTGGTCCAGATTTAGATATAGCTCCCATATATATTTTCTTCCGATTTAAGGTTGATGGTACACCAAAGCCCCTATATATCTTTCGATTTGCACGAAATTTGGCACAACGTACTGAATTAAGCCTATAATAATGTGTGCTAAATTTCGTGAAAATCGTTTCAGATTTAGATATAGCTCCCATATATATTTTCGTCCGATTTAATGTAAATGGTGCACCAAAGTCCCTATATATCTTTCGATTTGGTACATCGTACTGAATTAAGCTAGAATGATGTGTGTTAAATTTCGTGAAAATCGGTTCAGATTTTGATATAGCTCCCATATATATGTTCGACCGATTTAATGTAAATGGTAGACCAATGATATGGCACTAAACGTGCTGGAATTAGTATAAACTGACCAGTGACAAGTTGCGTTGCAATCGGTTTAGATATAGCTTTCATTAATATTTTCGTCCGATTTTAAGTAAATAGTGCCCTAAACTCTTCATTTTCTTCAGATTGACGCGAAATTTTTCACAACGTACAAAATTGAGTATAGAATGACATAATTGATTTTTGTAGAAATACAGACATATCCCATATATTCGCTTGACTTCATATTTATTGGGCTTCAAACAATCAACGATTGTCCGATTGAGATTTGATTTAAATCGATTACGACTTTACTACTACCCTTACTTGGTTGGTATTGAAAATGCAATATATCGGTTCACGTTTTGGTTAGCCCTCATAACACGATACCACCAAGTATTCCGTAACGCCCACGTTTTCAGCGAAATTGGCTGTAATTTTATATTTTATCTTCCCATGCGGTAGAAAATCTCCTTACCAAACAATATCAATATTGACATATGTTTCGGGGTAGGTCCCATATATCAGTACTCCTAATATTCGGTAATTTTGGATTATGGGCACATTTTTCAACCGAATTGGGTGTAATTTTAATACTTACTTACTTAGCTGGCTTGTTACAGAACGGTTGTTCCATAAGCCGAGCTTAAAAAAGATTTTCAAGCGCGTCGGTCTTGTGCGCAAGTCCACCAATTTGGAAGACCACGTTCCAAGATGTTGTTTTCTACTTGGTCTTTCCATCTAATCCGTGGCCTTCCCCTTCTACGGGAACCATCAGTAGGCTCATTTTTATATGCCTTTTGAGCTGGGGCATATTCATTCATCCGCACAACATGGCCTAGCCACCGTAGTCGCTGCAGCTCAATACGACTGACTATGTCGATGTCCGCGTATAAATTGTAGAGCTCGTGGTTCATTCGACGCCGATATTCACCGTCGACGCAGATCGGCCCGTAGATCTTTCGGATAATTTTTCTCTCAAACACCCCAAGCGCTGCCTCATCTGCTTGTGCAAGTACCCATGCTTCTGATCCATATAATAGCACGGGTAGTATCAGCGTCTTGTAAAGTGTGAGTTTGGTCTAGCGGGAGTTTGGTCTGGCCTTGTTTCTAAACTGCTTACTTAGACCATAGTAGCATCTGTTGGCCATCACAATCCTCCGAATTTCAAAACTGATGTCATTTGTTTTATTTATGGCGGTACCAAGGTATATAAATTCTTTAACTACCTCGAAGCTGCAGTTCTCAAGTTCCACAGTCGGCCCGAGCCTACTGGACGTTTTGCGCGTTGATACCATCAGCTTGGTCTTCTCGCCGTTTACTGCCAGACCCACTTTGACAGACTCCTTTTCAATTTGTTCAAAGGTGGCTGTTACCGCTCGCAATGTTCGACCCATTATATCAATGTCACCGGCGTAGGCGAGTAACATGTGTTGTTTGGTGTACAGAGTGCTATTCCTGTTCACCTTTGCGTCTCGTATGACCTTTTCCAGTAGGATGTTAAAAAGATCACACGACAAACAGTCACCTTGTCTGAATCATCGTTCAGTATTGAAGGGCTCCGATAGGTCCTTTCCTACTTTAACTGCTGACCTTGTGCCACTTAAAGTTATCCTGCATAGCCGTATTAATTTTGCAGGAATGCCGAACGCAGAAATGGCTTTAAACACCTCTGAACGGATAGGGGTGTCGAATGCGGCTTTATAGTCGACAAATAGGTGGTATGTGTCGATGTGTTTTTCGTGGGTCTTTTCCAGGATTTGGCGCAGAGAGAAAATCTGGTCAATGGTGGATTTGCCAGGTCTGAAGCCGCATTGGTATGGTCCGATGATGTCATTGACCATTGGCTTCAATCGTTCACACAGCACACTGGATAGCACTTTATATGCGATGGGAAGGAGACTTATTCCTCTATAGTTGGCACATATCGTCTTGTCTCCTTTTTTGTGCACGGGATACAGGATGCTGAGATTCCAATCACTGGGCATGCATTCATCTAGCCAAATTGTGCTAATCAGCTGGTGCATGCTCCTGACCAGCATCTGGCCACCAGACTTGAATAGTTCGGCTGGTAACCCATCGGCTCCTGCTGCTTTGTTGTTCTTGAGCCGATTAATTGCTTTTATGACCTCATCTTGGCTAGGTGGTATACACTCTATACCATCATCTCTTATTGGTTCTGGGGTATCTTCTTCATCGCCACTATTTGATACTATTCTAGTCGATATAGTGGAGATATATCCAAATCTGAACCGATTTTCACAAAACTTCGTATACATCAATGTGGACCTATTTTAATACGCTCTGCAAAATTTTGTCTCAATTGAAAAAATTATGAAAAGTTTAGTGCACCATTTACCAAAAATTGGACGAAACTATATATGAGAGCTATATCTAAATCTAAACCGATTTCAACAAAACTTCATAAATATCAAACAGGACAACATAGCTGAAGCGGAGGTTCACCCCTTCATAACTCGGGAATTACTTAAGTATATGAAAAAAAGTGAATAGTTTTGGGTTAATTGATCTGTCGTTGCAAACTGTTCATGATATTGACCTCCAAACTTTATTTTGGTAGAAGCTGTGTCTACTTTAATGTAAAAAAATGTGTAAAAACAGGTTGAGGCGAAGCAGTTTTTTTATGTTCTCTATCGATTTGTGATTAAGCCACTCATTTCACTGTCTCCGTGTCAAATTAAAACTAGAAGCCAACAAAATGGGGACTACGCCCCTTATGTATAATTTTTTAAAATTTTAACTGCATCTACCTTTAAATGATGCTGACATTATGAAGCTCGATTCTAACTGTTTTTTTAATTTCACTTCTAGTTTTAATGCGCAAACAAGAATTTCTAAAAATCGATTATAATGTTATTGTAGTCGCGAATCTGAGTAATTTAATATATATGTTGTGTATGTAGTGTGCACAGCTTCAGAGTAATACTCATCCGAAGGTGCGAATTTTGTGCGATCATATTTCTTAAAAACCTATTTTTCAGGCCAAATTTGTAGATCTGTCAACTGAATGATATGGGTACCCGCGATCAGAAAGGTTTTTTACGTTTCGGATGATATAAAATCTTCTTCGTGTAAATCCATCAATTAGAACGGCGGGAACTGGCCTTCCAACAACACGAAATTTGGCAAAAAATGTTTTTGAAAATATCGCGGATTTAATTGTATTTTCTGTGGATCATTTCCACTTCAATAAATGACCTCATACGGATTTTGATCTTTTTTTCGAAAAGAAAACTTTAAAAACTTCAGCCGAAAGAGAGATGTACCCAATTTATCTCAAAAATAGTGTGATCTGGCACATCCATGGTTCTTAATGGACCACATTGAAATCGGTATAGATCGATGTATTTTTTTAAGGGTGCACACCGAAATCGGATGCGCGTTAATGGCATATGGAGTTTTCGGAAATTATTCGCGTTTTACGCATCTTAGCCGTCAAATGAAATTTCGCAATATATACATGGATTGGAAGATAAACTTCAGTACTTCCTGGAAACCGCATGCGCATCAAATGATGAGGAACATGCATAAATCGACTCAGAAAGTGATTCTATGCATATTCACAAAAGAAACCATAGGTCTGTCTCGATTCTTTTGCCTGTTACACACATATGCACAAATATATAATACCCTGTACCACAGAGGGTGAAGGGTTTAAAAACAACCTACGACTTTATAGAAATTGAAAACATTATCGAAAAATTGTACTGGTCCCTGCTGGAGTATTATTTAAAAATTTCACTCCACCTATTTTAGACCTTAAAAAATATTCTTTAAAAAATCCACGCCTTATATAGACCATGAAAAAAATTATTTAAAAAATCCACGCCTTATATAGACCATGAAAAAAATTATTTAAAAAATCCACGCCTTATATAGACCATGAAAAAAATTATTTAAAAAATCCACGCCTATTCAGGAAGATAAAAAAAATTATTTACATAATTCACACCTATTCTGGACCAATAATAAAATATTTAAATAATTTATGCCTGTTCTGGACCACGTAAAAATATATTAAATTTTTTGCTCTGGCTTTTATTTTCTCCAAATAAATAATAAAATTATTATGTTATCCAATTCGTATTAACGATTCATCAAGTTATGCTTGATGCTGCGGACTTTTATCCCGCTCCACACTGTAGAATACCGTATCATGACGACTAATATTGTAATAATCATAAATAGTTATTGACGCCGGTTTACGTTGAATAACATCTTGCACCTTATTCGCCAGAATATTGAGGCAATTTCTTATATTTGCCGTTAATTTTTCAAAATAGACAACTAGGGTGGTTTCCTCATTTTTCGCCTCAATTCTTTGTATTATTTCATTTTCCAATAAATCATTGCTATCCTCATCGTTAGTCGTGAATCCCGAAGGTAGATTTACTTCCATTATTATCATATTGGTGGTGGCTGCCGCCGATGCCTGCTCTTTTGATTTATAGGTGAAACAAATTTCCAACAGTATTTCATCGGGATTTAAAATTTTCGTTTTCGGTTCTATTTGAAAATGTTGGAAATTTTCTGTGGTCACAATGTAATAATGATAGTTCAGCTGTAGTAGAGAATTGCCAAGACCACTGGCTTCAATTTCCACAGCTCGTGTTGCTTTGGGTAACTGGAAAGAGATACGGAAAATTTTTTTACTTGCCAATAAAAAAAAGAATTTTAAGAGCTCCCCTACCTCTTCAGTTTGTAAAATCATAACATTATTAGCATCCACGTTAATTTCACCCGATTTCAAGGAGTCACCTTGCAGATTTTTCGCCGTGTATTCCACTTTGACATTCACATCCTCGGCGGAATTATATTTTTGTGAATATTTGACCATAGCCTGTTAACCATTTCAGAACCTTTTTACTAAACAGCGGATCTGTATTGGCCTCGAGAAGTGCCATCAACACATAAGCAGTGATTTCAACATCCTTGGCATTGCTGTGATCTTCTTGGGTCCAATACACCCCATCATTGGAACCTTGTTTATATTTCATTAGCTTTTCAAGCACCTTTGTTGAGCTGCTATGGCGTGCCATTTGTAGTGTTACGGCCATAATCGATAGGGCATAAACATCATCGATTTTATCCAAATTATCATCAAGAAATTTCAAACCCTTTTCGATAGAAGGTTTATATTTTTGGGCGTGTTTCTGAAAAAGAAGAAAAAAATTTAATTTAAAAAATCCACGCCTTATATGGACCGTGAAAAAAATTTAATTTCAAAAATCCACGCCTTATATGGACCGTGAAAAAAATTAATTTCAAAAATCCACGCCTTATATGGACCGTGATAGATGAAAAAAATATTTAAAAAATCCATGACATACATGGACCATGAAAAAAAATTATTTAAAAAATCCACGGCTATTTTGGACCATGAAACAATTTTTTAAAAAATCCACGCCTTATATAGACGCTGTAAAAGTATTAAGAAACGTCCAAAATATTTACCTGATCCTCCAAGAAGGTCATCAAAACAAATGCCGTAAAACCAAATCGATTCTGCTGCGCCGGATAGAAGACATAACCGGTATATGGGAAACTACCATCCATATGCTGAGTACTCGCCAAATAGTGCAAACCACTTTCAATGATATGCCCCTCTATGGAAATATATTTTGAGGATTTTATAAAATATCGTATAATATAGGCCGTCAACCAGGTACTCGGTTCAGAATCCTTCCGCTCTCCAAAAACACTAAATCCACCTTTGTCGTGACGATATGACAGCTGTTGTTGATAGCCTATCTCAATATAATGCTTGGCCTTAGCTGCCAAGGCCTTCTCCCGATAATGTCTTCCCGTTGCCCGAAGATATTGTAGAACCAAAACATTTGGAGCAAATTTCACCATATTTTGTTCGCCACAGCCGGTGGGTATGGCCACCAGACCATTCAGATTCTTGATGGTCGGTGCCAAATTATCACCACCCATTGTCAGGGTAATAAATTCCGAATCGGGTACAATACCTTGAGGAATTTTCAGTAGAAATGTAGCCTGCATCCGTTTCTCAGGAAAGCCATTGATGTATAAATTCTTAGTTTCTTGTTTCTTTACACCTTCTGGTTCCACCTTGAGTATTTGTTCCACAGCATCTGATGATATGGGTGTGGTTGCCGTGATGCGCAGCTTCAGCTCTCCCACCTGCCGGGGATTAATGAGAAATACAACTGTACTAACATTGTTTGCCGATACTGTATGCCGTTTAATACGCATCCTTTCCGTCGAACCTTCATCGGCATTAAAAATTGTCGATTCCATAAAATAAAATTCGGAATTTTCATTAAAGAATGTAATTTCAGTATCCACCGGCTCGTCATGATAATTGTGTATTAGTATTGGTATACTGACAATTTCACCACGCTTTACCGAATATGGCAGATTGAGATTGATGAAAAACGATTGGATTGTTGTAATATCGGTGGGACCATCGACAATACCAAATCCGGTTTTTTCATTTACTGAAAATGCGGTGACACGCCAGGTGGTAATTGTGTCGGGAATGTTGAGGGTCAATTGGGTGGTGTTATTGGTGCTAGGAAAACAAAAGGAAATGAGTTAGAAAATAAACATATATCCATAGGTCTTCTAGGCCTCGGGGTGTTGCAAAAACTATTCTTTAAAAAATCCATGCCTTGTGGTTCCCTTGAAAAACTATTCTTTAAAAAATCCATGCCTTGTGGTTCCCTTGAAAAACTATTCTTTAAAAAATCCACGCCTAATGGTACCCTTGCAAAACTATTCTTTAAAAAATCCACGCCTATTGGAGGCCTTCAAAAATTATTTTCCAAAATTCTACGCCTCTTAAAGACCTTAGAAAGACATTCGTCAACAAATCTTACATTTCATAGTTTTCAAATATCCATGTTTCGGGAAATTTTTTACGAAAATTTAAGGGACCTATAGCAGCGGGACTATAAACACCAATATCTACAAAAAAAGGAACTTTCGATTAAAAACAAATCTTTGAAAGCATTTCCTTCCAACTTACCATTCAACGGGATAAATATATAGTGAGCATTTGTCATGGTGATGACACCTGACAAATATCCCGGATATACCAGAGCGCGAAAAGCCACCGATGATGTATCGGCTTTCAATGAATATAATATTGACCATTTTTGCAAATCATACGAAGAATCTAAGAGATATACACCCAAATCTACGGCTAGGACGCCAACCAAAGATTTGGGTTGGGCTGCCAATTCTAATGTCACTTCTTCACCGGGTTTGACTTGTTTGGGCGCCATAATTGATACCTGAAGAGCGATAATGTTTATTTTTATATTATATATATTTTTAATTGTAGATAGAATTCTTACCCTGTTTTCAAACTCCAGGGGAAATGTTAGTTTAATTTCCTCGTAACGCAAATTACCCTTATCAACGTAGTGAACATAGACAAAGGCGTAGGGTATCATATCTATGGACGGTATTATTTCTATGATGTGGGTTTTTTGATTTGGCTTTAATGTTACATGATCACCAGTTATAATAGCGGAGTGACCGACAATGGTATACACCAAGTAGGGTATATTCTTTGTGGAGGACACTTCAAGTTGGACAGTGGTACCCAAACGAAGTCTAGAAATAAAGTAAAAAAATATATTCTTTTAAAATATTCTTTAAAAAATCCACGCCTTTGGTGGACCATTAAAAACTATTCTTTAAAAAATCCACGCCTTTGGTGGACCATTAAAAACTATTCTTTAAAAAATCCACGCCTTTGGTGGACCATTAAAAACTATTCTTTAAAAAATCCACGCCTTTGGTGGACCATTAAAAACTATTCTTTAAAAAATCCACGCCTTTGGTGGACCATTAAAAAATATTCTTTAAAAAATCCACGCCTTTGGTGGACCATTAAAAACTATTCTTTAAAAAATCCACGCCTTTGGTGGACCATTAAAAAATATTCTTTAAAAAATCCACGCCTTTTGTGGACCATTAAAAAATATTCCTTAAAAAAATCCACGCCTTTGGTGGACCATTAAAAAATATTCTTTAAAAAATCCACGCCTTTGGTGGACCATTAAAAAATATTCTTTAAAAAATCCACGCCTTTGGTGGACCATTAAAAAATATTCGTTAAAAAATCCACGCCTTTGGTGGACCATTAAAAAATATTCTTTGAAAAATCCACGCCTTTGGTGGACCATGAAAAAATATTCTTTGAAAAATATTTGTTTTGCTCGTACTTATTATTCAACACCGTCAGCTTAAAATATGATTCGGTTTTATTTGTATTAAGCGGTTCATAGGCCAATATATTCGCCAGTTTATACGTAACATTGCCATATTCAAATAGATGATTCGAATTCGATTCGTGTTCAAATTCAAATGTTGCTTCACCTTGGCAATCCAAATAGGCCGTATACTTCCTGCCACCGTGGTCCATTGTTACCGGCATATTCGGATCTGCAATGGGCTTGCCATCCCAATCATTCACACTTAGTTTCAATCGAAAAGGTTTATTTTTGAAAAATTCGATGGATTTGGAATCCACGAACATATTGAATGGTTTGTTATGCACCTCAATATAGGCCCGCTCACTTCTCGTTAGGCCCGTATGTTTTTCCGTCAATTCAACGATTAGATTTAAACCTTGTACAGCTCGCAATATTGCCGAATCTTTCAAATGGAAAACAACCTCCAGCTGATCTTTCACATGAACCTGTTTTTCTTCAAGAACAGTGTCTTTCACGGGCTCGATCAGTTTAATAACCGCATGACCTTCGACATATTTCTCGAATGTATATTTTCCAAAAATTGTCGCCTTTAAAGACATTCGATCACCCAAAATTATATATTTATCGGATTCAATGTAAACGCTAAATTTTGGCAAGACATATTTTTGTACTCGGATACGTTTCTGTCTGCTATAATCATATTTGCCGCTTATATAGACTCGTATATACCAATCGCCCATTACAGGATATTCGGAAAGTTGAAATTTATTTTTATATACACCCTTCACGAGGGCAATGTCCTTAAATTGTTTCACGCGATTTTCTTTGTCATCCTGAAATGAAAAAAAAATCAACATTAGGATTTTTTCAAGACCTCAAATAGGCGTGGATTTTTTACAGAATATTTTTTCAAGGCCTATCAATGTTCACCAGAAGCGTGGTATATTCTAGGACTAATACTCCTGGTGTATATTTTTTTAAATAACGTATTCCTTCTTACCATAATTTCAACACGTATCGGCTCGTTGATCTTCATCGGCCTTGTATTTTCATCCAATATCAGCACACGAAATTGTACCACATCACCCGGTTTGAATACGGCCTTATCCGTTTGTATGTAGATTTTTGGTCCAGCAAATGGATCGGCAATTAAACGAGTTTCATTTCGAAATCGTATACCACTTAGACCTTCGGCAATTAATTTATGTTCACCACTCAACAATTTCGGCGGTAGAAATGTCACAATTTTTGTTTCATATGACTGCAAATAGACATCACCTTGCATGTGATACGATGGTCCTTGCATGCGTAGATTTATTTTTACCGGTTCCGGTGCTTCGTGTAACGTCACGACTATCGTATATTTATGATTTGATCTTATAACACCCGGTGCAATTATGGAATAGTAGCTGTTAAAGAGGAGAAAGGGGGAGAGAATAAATGTTAGTAAATTTTAAATTTAAAAATTCAATAGAAAGGGGCTTTACGAGGCAGGAATGCCGACCTCCTATTGATAGAAGGCTGATCACCTATCGATAAAAGGCTGGTCTCCTATTGATAGAAGACTGACCACCTCTTGATAAAAGGTTGGCCACCTATTGATGGAAGGCTGGCCTCCTTTAGATAGAGGTCTCCCATTGATAGGAGACTGACCTTATATTAATAGAAGGTTTGCCACCTATTGGTAAAAGGCTGGCCACCTATTGATAGAAGGCTGGCCACCTACTGATAGAAGTCTGACCAACTATTAATATAAGGTTGGTCACCTTTCGATAGAAGGCAGGCCGCCTATTGGTAGAAGGCTGGCCGCCTATTGATAGAAGGTTGGCCACCTATTGATAGAAGACTGGTCACCAATTGATGGAAGACTGACCACCTATTGATAGAAGGCTCGCCTCATATTGATAGAAGGCCTGCTACCTATTGCGAGAAGGCTATTGATAGAAAACTGGCCACATATTGATAGAAGGCTTGTCACCTATTGATAGAAGGCTGGCAAAATTTTGGTAGAAGGCTGGCCATTATTGATAGAACGTCGTATTGAAAGAAGGCTGGCTCCTATTCATAGAAGGCTGGTCACCTATTGATAGAAGGCTGGCCTCCTATTGATAGAAGGCTGGCCTCCTATTGATAGAAGGCTGGCCTCCTATTGATAGAAGGCTGGCCTCCTATTGATAGAAGGCTAGCATCCTATTATTGAAGGCTGGCCACCTATTGGCAGAAGGCTGATCTCTTATTGATAGAAAGCTGATGTCGTATTGATAGAAGGCTAACAACCTATTGAAGAAAGGATGGTCACCTATTGATAGGAGGGTGCCCCTATTGATTTAGGGCTGGCCTTATGGATTGAAAGCTGACCTCCTATTGATAGAAGGGTGGCCACCTATTGATAGATGGCTGGGCACCTAATGATAAAAGGCTGGCCTCCTATTGATAAAAGGCTGGCCTCCTATTGATAAAAGGCTTGCCTCCTATTGATAGAAGGCAGGCTTCCTATTGATAGAAGTCTGGCCTCCTATTGATAGAATGCTGCCCACCTATTGATAGAAGGTTGGCCTCCTGTTGATAAGAGGCTGGTCTCGTATTGATAAAAGCCTGTCCAACTATTGATAGAAGGCTGACCCCCTATTGATAGAAGATTGGCATCCTATTGATAAAAGGCGGGTGACCTATTGATAAAAGGATCGTCTCATATTTAAAATAGGGTGGACACCTATTGATAAAAGGCTGGTCACCTATTGATAGAAGACTGGCCACCTATTGATAGAAGGCTAGCATCCTATTATTGAAGGCTGGCCACCTATTGACAGAAGGCTGACCTCTTATTGATAGAAGGCTAGCCACCTATTGAAGAAAGGCTGGTCACCTATTGATAGAATTCTGACACCCTATTGATTTAGGGCTGGCCTCTTATGGATTGAAAGCTGACGTCCTATTGATAGAAGAGTGAATTGGTAATGATAGAAGGGTGGTCTCCTCTTTATAGAATAGTGGCCTGCTAATGATGGAAGGCTGGAAACTTTTGATGGAAGGCTGGCCATCTACAGGCGGAAGGCTGACCCTCTATAAACATAAGTTTGGCCTTCTGTAGATAGATCGCTGGCCTTTTGGGTATTCTAAAAACCGGAATATGATAACGATTATTTGGTTCGTCGATGATTCACTGTCATTATCTCCAATATAATTCAAAAATATCAAATAAATATACACACATTGGCATACATATATGTATGTAGGCGTGAATTTACGTGCCTAACGCTAAACACAAATCACTTAAATTTGATGAGCTGCTGTCATAAGACAAGCGGGTAAATCCATCAATGGATTAATAATCAGCAACTTGTGTACGATTTAAAAACGATCTGGGGATGAGCATTGAAATCCAGAAGATCTACTTTCCGATATAAACAAAGGATAGTCCACAAATATTTTCAGATATTTATTTTTTTCTGGACCTGATATGTGGAGGTCCAGAGAGAAAAAATTAAATATGATCGAAGAACATACCTTTCACTGGCCACCAAAATAAAACCATAACAACCGAATATGATGGCGGCATATGCCACGAAATTTTGCATTTTGATTTCAATATTTTTTTCACCCCACGTTTTAAGTACTAACCCAACCGGCGAATCAATTGTAATCACTTGCCGGAATGTTGAAACACAACTGAATAGAAAAATCTCTGAGGAATATTATTTTACAATTAAAAAAAATTGATTGCATTGAGATGCATTCGGAAAGTAATTAGAAGAAGCTGGGCAATAAACAATTGAGCACAAATATTCTAAAATCTCTAAGAGAATAATGAAAAAAGTGAAACCGGTATGTTGGCAAAAACAAACAAAACAAGCAACAATTAAAAATCCCCCGCATCATAGCTATAAAATTACAATTGAATCCACGAGATCAGTGTTGGAAACGAGTGCCCATGAACTTGATATGAATATTGGAAAAATATTTTATACAAATCCAAACCTTTCCTAAAAAAAATATATTCTTTAAAAAATCCATGCCTTGTAAAGGCCTTGAAAAAATATTCTTTAAAAAAATCACGCCTCCGTTGGACCTTGTAAAAAATATTCTTTAAAAAAATCATGCCTCTGTTGGACCTTGTAAAAAATATTCTTTAAAAAATCCACGCCTCTGATGGACCTTGTAGATGGACTTTGGAAACATATTCTGACCTTCTAATTATATAAGACTTGCCTACAAGAGAATGAATGCTGGCATCCTAAGACTGACTTCCTATTGAATGATAGAAACCTGACATCCTTTGGAAGCCTGACCTGAAGCCTGTCCTTTTACTGATATAAGGCTGGCCTCCTATTGATAGAAGGCTTACCAATAGACGGCCGGAAGTCGGACTTTATATTTATAGAAGGAAGTTTCTCATCAATAAGAGAAGTATCGCCTCAATTGTCGCCAGAAAGTTACATAAATTTTGGTGGTACTTCATCGGTTCTTATACGACATAGAACACTTCTCTTCGTCATGTCACATTTTGGAACGAGTTTGAAATAAGACCCGGAACTTACGTAATTAAATGTGACAGACGTTCGGTGGTCGTCCCTGCTTCCAGGTTTCGAAAGTGACTAAAACTCGTACTCGTAGGAAATTCTTCTCACCCACCCGATGATCTGAGAATATGGCCAGACTTCTTTCACTTGTTTCAGGGAATTGGGTCGTTCAGATCTTATGAAGTCGAGTGGTCTATTGACGGAGACGATGATGAGGAAGTAGTACAACGAACCAAGGGAAATGACGGGTAGCCAAATTTCGGCATTTTCATACTTGGTTCTACTGTGTTGTCTGTCGATCTATGGCAAGAATCTAGCCACAAGTGACGCATCAGCTTTGTATGGAGGCTATAAAGATACATGGACTTGTAAATTCGCCTAGGTCTATTAAAATATCGGTAAAGGGTTTGGACCTCAATATGTTATAATTATTGCTGAACATATTTACCACCCATTTAGAATTTAGAATATCAAAGTAGAGCCAATTCTGTTATAAACATATTCAATGACCCTTAAATACGGAATAATGGATGGTGCCGTTATTATTGCCACTATTGATTATTTTTAGTAGGAAACGTTTAGAACCTAAAATATCAAATTTGAGCCAATTCGATTGAGAATCACTTTCTGAGTCGATTTATGCATGTCCGTCTGTTGATGTTAAATCGTAAATAAAGTGCAGGTCGCATTTATGATCCGAATTGGATGATATTTGGCACAGCTCATTTATTGGGAAAAAAATCGGTTTAGATATAGATCCTACATATATTTTTGTCCGATTCGTTCGATTTGCACGAAATTTTTCACAGCGTACTGAATTGGGTCTGGAGTCATGTCTGCCAAGTTTCGTGAAAATCGGTTCAGATTTAGATATAGCTCCCATATATATTTTCGTCCGATTTTATATAAATGGTGCACCAAATGCCCTACATTTCTTTTAAATTGCACGAAATTTCGCATAGCGTACTGAATTGAGTCTGGAATGAATTGTGCTGAATTTCGTGAAAATCGATTCAGATTTAGATATAGCTCCCATATATATTTTCGTCCGATTTTATGTAAATGGTGCCCCAAAGTCCCTATTTTTTCGATTTGCACGAAATTGTGCATATCGTACTGAATTAAGTCCGGAATGATGTGTGCCGAGTTTCATGAAGATCGGTTCAAATTTAGATATAGCTTCCATATCTAAATAACGACTTATCCAAAAGTCCCAAGAAAGGTTCTACCCTTTCTTTAATATTTATATATGATATAAAAGTCCACGTTTGTTTTGCTTATATAAAAAATAAACTAAAAACTCCACGTACAGACCAGTTGAAAAATATATTTATGTATATAAATTTAAAATACGCCCTTGCTTTGCAGAAAACATTCAATTCCAATTATTTCCACATTTTCTCTCTGTGTACATGTTATAAAAAGATAACATCTGATAATACGATCACAACATATGTTAATTGTATCTGATTTGCAGCAACAGTCGTCTGCATCTTATCAGTAGCGACGAACTTTCTAATCTCTTATTGTTTATTTTGGTAAATATACCACAATATAGTTAATAATTCTAGTAATAAGAATTTCTATTTTAGTACATCAGTAGAAGTCTTGAAAAGTACAACAGTCGATCTCCACGACAATGGTAATTGAACACGACGTTCAGGGTTATGATGAATTTAAGAAATTAGTCGGTGAATTGGAACAATCGGGCAAACCGATATTTGTTCTCTTTTCCGGTGGTAAAGATGAAAATGGTGAAAGCTGGTGTCCCTATTGTGTTACAGGTAAGGTAGAACATCGTTCAATATATAGGACTTTATCAAATGTATTTTTTTTCTGTACAGCGGAACCAGTTGTCCATGAGGCTCTATCGAAGGCACCGTCAGATTCCCATTTTATTCATGTAATTGTGGGCGAAAGAAGCTAGTAAGTTATTATCGGCAAGCTAGTAAGCGAGATACAGAAGTAAGCGGGAATCAATATTTTGCTAATAGGTACCGTCGCGAGTTTAATTAAAATTATCGGAAACCATATCGTCGGGTTCAACAGCAAAAAAAATATGAATTGTGGAAAGTAAATGAGTTGGAAATTCAAAATATCTAAAATCGATCGGGGATTCCAGAAGAAAACGCAATACCAAACGAAACAGACACTTCGGTTAAGCTATGCCAACTCGGTGACTGGTGTTGATAACTTTTGATAGAAAGATTCGACACCCAAGAAGAATCCAAAATATAAAATTAAAGCCTATTTGGTTGAAAAGCAAGCCCAAACTCCCAAAAAAAGTACAGAAATTTGGGAGCTATTGCTATACAGAGGCTACTCTAAAGAGTTGACCAATGTGTTAGGCTATTTTGTTATCCATTTATAACCCAAAATACCAAATTAAAGTGAATTTGATTGCAAACCGTGCCCAATATCCTCAAAAAGTCCGAATAATGGGGTTAGCGTTATATGGGAACTATAACAGAACGGACGGAAATATCCTATTTATAATGCCAAACATCCTAAAGGTACCACCAATTTCTGTTTAAAATTTAAAATCTTTATAGTGATTTCAACAGACAGCCAAATATTGATATTATGAACATGAATATATTTAATGTATCTCCGAAGATTATTTCGAGTAATTGACAAATTTATTTTAATTGAATTCAGTTGCTGAACAGCTGATACCCGTTAAGTTGGCAACACGAGAGGGAATATGTTCATCAGTATTTAACAAAACCCCCTATTCGCCTATTCGCTTAATAATTGATCCTGATTTCTGTAACCTCTACTTGTTCCTGTTCCAATGATAAAGCTCCTATATTTTCGGTATTCACTTTTATTAGAATGTATATTAAATTCATTATTCTTCTCTATTTATTTTTTTTTTTAGTTGGAAAGATCCGAACAATCCGTTCCGCAAAGATCCCAAAACACATTTAGTTTGGGTACCGACACTTATGCGATGGAATACACAGAAACGTGTCGACAGTGATCGCTGCTCCAAAAAGGATTTGGTCGAAATGGTTTTCGAAGATGATGAATAAGAAATGTAGATATTAAGTTGAAAAACGGTTATTATTGAAGTAAATAATGTAAAAGTGGTTTTATTTTGTATAAAAATATAAGTATGTATATATCATGTAAATTAATAAAATATGCTAAATATATGTAATTTTTTTCTGAAAATGAATCAAAAAAACCTACTCTTTAAATTAATGAATCCACGCCTTTTTATGACCCTGAAACCCTACTCTTTAAATTAATGAATTCACGACTTTTTATGACCCTGAAAACCTACTATTTAAATTAATGAATCCACGCCTTTTTATTACCCTGAAAAACTATTCTTTAAATTTATAAATTCACGACTTTTTATGGCCCCGAAAAAGTATTCTTTAAATTAATAAATTCACGCCTTTTTATGGCTCTGAAAAACTATTCTCTAAATAATCCACCACTTCTTATGACCCTGAAAAACTATTCATTAAATAATCCACACCTTCTGATGACCCTGAAAAAATATTCTTTAAATAATCCACACCTTCTTATGACCCTGAAAAACAATTCTTTAGATGATTTACACCTTCTTATGACCCTGAAAAACTATTCTCTAAATAATCCACGCCTTCTTATGACCCTGAAAAAATATTCATTAAATAATCTGCGCCTTCTGATGACCCTGAAAAACTATTCATTAAATAATCCACGCCTTCTTATAACCCTGGAAAACTATTCTTTAAATAATCCACACCTTCTTATGACCCTGAAAAACTATTCTTTAAATAATTCACGACTTGGTTAGACACTGAAAAAGTATTCTTTAAATAATCCACGCCTTCTCATGACCCTGAAAACATATTAATTATATAATCCACGCCTTTAGACCTTAAGAAAGCATTTTTAATAAAGCAACGCCTCTATAAGACCCTAAAGAAAACATTGCTAAAAACTACAGGCCTCTAAAAGACCTGAAGAAAATATTTTTAATAAATCCATGCTTTGGTTAGACCATAAACAACATTTTTAAGAAATACATTCCTTGATTAGATTTAATAAATCCACGCCTTTATAAGACACTAAAGAAAAACTGTTTAATAAATCCACGCCTTTATAAGACACTAAAGAAAAACTGTTTAATAAATCCACGCCTTTATAAGACACTAAAGAAAAACTGTTTAATAAATCCACGCCTTTATAAGACACTAAAGAAAAACTGTTTAATAAATCCACGCCTTTATAAGACACTAAAGAAAAACTGTTTAATAAATCCACTCCTTTATAAGACACTAAAGAAAAACTGTTTAATAAATCCACGCCTTTATAAGACACTAAAGAAAAACTGTTTAATAAATCCACGCCTTTATAAGACACTAAAGAAAAACTGTTTAATAAATCCACTCCTTTATAAGACACTAAAGAAAAACTGTTTAATAAATCCACGCCTTTATAAGACACTAAAGAAAAACTGTTTAATAAATCCACGCCTTTATAAGACAATAAACAAATTAATAAATCCACTCCTCTACAAGACCCTAATTTTTTTTTTTATAAACCCACGCCTCTATAAGACCCTAAAGAAAACATTTTTAATAAATCCACATCTCTATAAGACCCTAAAGAAAACATTTTTAATAAATCCACTCCTCTATAAGACCCTAAAGAAAACACTTTTAATATATGTATCTACGCCTGTAAGAATATTTTTTAATAAATAAATCTGATAACATATTAAAAATTCTACCCATTATAATAGACTGACGATTTATTTATCCCTCGTAGACCTTATTACGGCCCAAGGTATATTTAATAAGGTAGCCGCATCGGCCCAGCTGTTGGACAAATAAATGTCAAAAATGTTGTTGTAATGTTGAACCAAAAAATTAAAAAACAAAATTATGAATGAAAATCTCCGAATTTCGAAGAGCTTTTTTGGCAATACTTTTATTAATATTTTCTACAAGAATTTGTGTAAAAAAATCTTGTCAATCTGTTTGTTTTGGCAAAATATTTTTGACATATCAAAATACAACAACCGATGTTTGTTGTAGAAATTCGCCGATGCGGCTACCTTGTATATCTACCTTGTTACGGCCCATATCGTCATCAGCTATTCACAATAAAGAGCTTTTGAGAGTTGGCAATGCGACAACATATCAATTCATATTTGAAAAACCATTGAATCATAAGTTCAACGAAAGAAGCCTAAGCAACAAAATGAGCCAACCGTAACTAGTTCACACATATATACACTTCCTTCCAATGAACATATTGCATTGAACACATTAGTTGCGCTGCGAGACGGTTCTGAGCAAATTACTGCAGCACTTCATAAATACCGGACGTTCGTTTAGAAATTTCGCCAAAACGCGTTTCATAAGGCAACTAGTCGGTGATATTTATAAAATATCACAACGTCAATTGTATTCGACGACAACAACAACACGGATTAATCGAACACAAAATCAAATTCAAACAACAACAAATAAACCAATCATGGTTGTTCAACACAATGTTAAAGGTTATGAAGAGTTCATCAAATTGGTGGGCGAACTAGAAGGTTCTGGCCAGCCGATACATGTTTTATTTTCCGGTGGTAAAGATGAATCGGGTAACAGTTGGTGTCCTTATTGTGTAAAAGGTATGTGCAGGGAGTGGGCGAGTCGTTATGAATTACCTTGATGGCAATCAATCATGTTGATGTATGTTTATTCATTTTGTTTGTTTTGTAATTCCCAGCTGAACCGGTGATTCATGATGCCCTGGAAAAAGCTCCTGAGAAATCACATTTTGTACACGTTGATGTTGGTGAACGTAGCTAGTAAGTAGTAACAATTAAAACTAATTAATTATGTATTTCAATTAGTTCCTTTTATGAATAATGTTGTTGTTTTGTTGATAAAGCCGAATAGATAGTGAGTGGTTCAGATGGTAGATTAAGGTGGCAAGGGAATGGCAAGCGGAAACCGGGGAAATGTAGTATTTTGTGTTGTTCATAAACTTATTTACAAATCATCTAGCGTATTTCGGTTTTTATGACCATTTCAGCAAAAACTGAAAATTGTCTGATAACCATGACAAATTAAATTTTCGAAAAGGCTTTTAAGAGTGTTGTTAACAACATTTGTAACAGATAAACGGAATTCGAAAGACCTATCTCCGGTTATTATTTGTTGTGGCGATTATTTACAATCCCTAAAATTGATTTTATGGAATATTTATTATGCCTTTAAATTTGTTGAGTGTCACCTTGTCTTTCAAGGTTGGTGTTATAACAACAAATTAGCGCTCAAAAATATCAGGAAATATAATAACAAATAAGCATTAATAGAATTAATCTATATAATCTGAGTCATATGTGCAGTTTTAAAATTGATAGCTTATTACTCCCATAGGAATTTGTGTTGCATGTATACCAACATTCCATTGCAGTTTTATCAATATGTACCACCTGACCTTCAAAAATGGACTCATATGTATTCCAAAACAAAACGACAAAAATATATCTCGTCACTATGTTTTTTAAGCTATGGTGGCCGTGTACTATGGTGGCTATAATGTTATTTACAGCCCCAAATATTACTTACGACAATTCTTAGTTTGATGATGAGAGAGGTTAGGGGTTGACTTTATCCTCAACTCCCTCGAATGCAATTAAAATTGTCCAATGGACACAAAAACATTATATACTTCAAAATATTGAAAATGTTGGGTCCACCTTCGTTCCTGTCATTTTTTAATAGGGAAGCTACATTATCCGAAATGTTTGCTTCGGATTCTTCTGGTCCGATCCGGGATTGAGACAACCCCCGGTAAATAGTCACCTTTTGGAAGGCAACAACCTGACCAAAGACCTCAATTTTTCGTTAGCCACCCTAATAGTTCACAATTTACTGAATGAAGCCAGAAAAGGAAACAAGCAAAAGTGAATGATACTGGACGATCTCACTTTTGTCCCCAGTAGCTAAGACTCCTGAGGAATTGCTACTCCCTAGCATTCGTCAATGCTATTCAGTTCCTGGTCATCAACACGGATTCCGGAAGCATCACAGCACAACCACAGATTTGTATGCCATTTCCACGCATATCTTCAGACCTATTTAAACTCTACATTTCTGGAATTCCACACCCACTGGACGGCATAAAATCGTAACATACGCGGATGACAGCGGAGTAATAAGGTTCTCAAGTCGCTAGACGGCAGAATTGAGATCAGGGTGGTGTAGGCACCTCAATTCGTATCGGAGTTAAAGGTAGAGTGTCGATCTCAAATCTACATGTCTCCTATTTCCGACGGTACATTAACATGCCTATCAAGCAGGGTTGAATTGTGTTCATATTGATATAGATGAGGAAGCCATTTAAGAATACTGGGTCAATGTAAAAATCGGAGATCGGATCTAAATTTCTAAATATTTTATACTCGCATTGCTCTGTTCCCGAACCTGCAAGAATCTTCAACTAATTGATTTAATGTTCTTTCCCTGAATTATGACACTAACCTCTATATCTACCTCCTTTATTTATTTACAGTTGGAAGGATTTAAATTGCCCATTCCGCAAGGATCCCAACACACATTTGATCTTCTTGCCAACATTATTGCGTTGGAAATCACCTCAACGTTTGGATGGTGAACGTTGTTCCAATAAAGACTTGGTAGAGATGATGTTCGAAGATGAGGACTAAGCTAAAAATCAATACAAATAAAAATTAAACGAAAATCCACTTAACGCAACACAAATTATAATTATGTTATAATCTTAATAAATTTTATTAATATTTGGAATATATAGACGTGTGTAAATTTCTACAACTTAATTTATTATTTGTATATAAAATATGGGGATTAACAAACTAATGGAATAATTTATAATAAGGGAGGAGGGAATAATAAAAAATAATTGTGTATATCTTAATAATTACATTTATATTTTTTCATCTCAACCATAACCACATGGATATTTGTCAATTGGGCACGGGCATTTGGTGTCAGTAGTTTATGGAAACGATGATAATATTGCACTAAACTAGCCAAGGCCAATTGCAATAACTGTGACCCGGTCAGTAGCGAGGGGAATGATAATAATACTTCACGATTTAATTCTTCTAGGGATTTTTTCCAACTTGATGAAAAACTAGCAACCAATGCCAAACTTCTACGTTCCTGTTTTCGGATCTCTTCAAGTTGTTCCTTTTCATACAGTGGTTCACATTCTTTAACAAATTGTATAATACCACCAAAATGCGGTGCAATAATTTCTTCAACATATTCGGCGCTGCGAGCATTTAATTGTTCCCGGAATGCTGATGCTTCTTTGGAGTTATCACGTGTATGTTCCATAAGGACACCCAGGACGAGATCATAATTATTTATTAAATAGATTAGCTGTTCTTTACGATTGGGAAATATGGCAGCCATACGTAGAATAAAGCATTCAACTTCATTTTGTAGCTCGAGCAGGAGGCGACTAACCAATTCATTGGGAAAATGTTCTGAGATGCCCACTATGGCTGCAGAGAATTCAGCATAGCGGCGGGTTATCTGGAAAAATGGAAAAAAAATTTTGTTAGGAACTTGTAGAGGTGGTAAAATCAAGGGTAACTGAGATAAAATAAGGACCATTCGATTTAGATTTTTTTAGATATCCATTACTGCCTCAAATACCCTCAAAGTCTACTTACATAGTGCGGTCCCATTTCTTTGCTAAATTTTGTTGGATCACAATCTCGTATACTTTGTATATTCAAACGGAATACATGTTCAAACCTGGGCCAAAATACCGCCTGCAATGAATCCCAATATCTGCAAGAGAAAAAATCGGAATTAAAAAAAATGTTTTGAAATAATATTTGGGGCCTTACTTATCCAATGCAGGTACACATCGTTTGTGGCACATCAATTGATAGCGGAATATTAATTGGATACAGAGGAACATAGCTATGGTATCGAAGCAATCTTGAATACTGGTTTCCAAATTTTTCTAAAAGTAATGGTCGGTGTTAATGGCTTAAATTTTGGTTTCAATTCAATTCAGAAACTTACAATCATCAATGTCAAGGTTTTGCCCATAATTTGATTGAAGAGATCCTGGGCTTGGGCACCACGTACCATAAAGAATTCCGTTACGAATAAATATTCACGACAGGCATTATCAACGAGGGCGTATTGTTCGGAACGGAAAAGTGCCTCAAAGGTGTACTATCAAATAAAAAAGAAGACATTTGAATTTCAAAAAAATATTTTCATGGTCCTCAATCTTCGATTTAAAAAAAAATATTTTTTTAAGGGATACACACAAGGCGTGGATTTTTTAAAAAGTAATTTTTAAGGGTTTTATCCGCACAAGGCATGGATTTTTTAAAAAATATTTTTTAAGGGACCAATCCGCAAAAGGCGTGAATTTTTTAAAAAATATTTTTTAAGGGACCAATCCGCACAAGGCGTGGATTTTTTAAAAAATATATTTTAAGGGACCAATCGGCACAAGGCGTGGATTTTTTAAAAAATATATTTTAAGGGACCAATCGGCACAAGGCGTGGATTTTTTAAAAAATATATTTTAAGGGACCAATCGGCACAAGGCGTGGATTTTTTTAAAAAATATTTTTAAGGGACCAATCCGCACAAGGCGTGGATTTTTAAAAAAATATTTTTTAAGGGACCAATCCGCACAAGGCGTGGATTTTTTAAAAAATATATTTTAAGGGACCAATCGGCACAAGGCGTGGATTTTTTAAAAAATATTTTTTTTAGGGACCAATCCGCACAAGGCGTGGATTTTTTAAAAAATATTTTTTTTAGGGACCAATCCGCACAAGGCGTGGATTTTTTAAAAAAATATTTTTTTAAGGGACCAATCCGCACAAGGCGTGGATTTTTTAAAAAATATTTTTTTTTAGGGACCAATCCGCACAAGGCGTGGATTTTTAAAAAAAAAATATTTTTTTAAGGGACCAATCCGCACAAGGCGTGGATTTTTTAAAAAATATTTTTAAAGGACCAATCCGCACATGGCGTGGATTTTTTTAAAAATATTTTTTAAAGGACCAATCCGCACATGGCGTGGATTTTTTTAAAAATATTTTTTAATTGACCAATCCGCACAAGGCGTGGATTTTTTAAAAAATATTTTTTAAGGGACCAATCCGCACAAGGCGTGGATTTAAAAAAAAAATTAAGGGACCAATCCGCATAAGGCGTGCATTTAAAAAAAATTTAAGGGACCAATCCGCACAAGGCGTGGATTTTTTAAAAAGTAATTTTTAAGGGTCCTGTCCACACAAGACATGCTCCCCATCTACGGGGAGTAGTTTTTTTTAATTTGTGTACTTACCCTATTTTTCATTTGAGCGTGCGGAACAATAATGGGAGCCTCTAGCTGTTGATTCAGAATATCACCTCGCTTGCCAATGGTGAAAATTGTACTCTTATGTTTCAAACTGGTAGTCTTGGCAAACAGGCCCTTCGAGACATTATCTTCAATTCCCATTAAATCATCTTTAGTACAGGATTCTTCAAATTTCAAACCAGCCAGGCGGGATGAATAGCTCTGCAATAAAAAAACAAGAATTAATAAAAAAATCCCCCACACTCCAATCCCAACAACCTCTCACCTTAAAATAACTATAATAGATCTTACTCATCGTATCGATATACTCATTACATATCTCCTGGGCCACCTGCCGCTCATTAGACAACACAAATTCAAAGAAGAATTTATGTTTCAACATAGCATTCTGTGGTATCTGATAGTTTGTCATGGGTCGCCGGAACTTATAAATTTGCTCCAGCATATATTGACGAATTTTCGACATAGCCTTCAGCCGCAATTTATGCAAAACATCTGCCACATCTGCAGTGGCTTTGGATTCTTTAAAACTCAACTCTTTGACCAGCGATAGCTTATGATTTAAAATGTTCAATTGTTTTTCGAATTCCTTTTCCGTCACTGGCGTCTCCATAATGGACATTATCATTTCCTCCGACACCGCCATGTCTTCAATGAATTGTGACAGCTGGGCCTTAACCGATTGACGATTTGTCAATTGTACCGACATGGCGACACTCTTCTTTTGCAGCTGTGTTATTTCCGTACTTATATTGCTGAGGACACTTTGGAAATTCATCAACATATTCTCCATACGTTCGAGGACATCGTCACATTCTCCAATCTGGTTGTGAAGGGCAGCAATGTTTTGCGATTCCTTGATGTAGTCTTCGATACTCTTGTTCTCCACCTCTTTGAATTCTTTTTCGATTTGTCGTGAATACTGCCGGAGATCGGTAGTGTTTTTGAGTATCTCACGGACTTCCTCATTGTCCAACTGGTCAGTAAGATTCGTCTCGGCAATTTGGGACATTTTTCCTCCAAACAACAAATTTTCCAATAAGAAAATAATGCAAACACAGAGTTAGGGAGAAGTAGGTCGACTTATGTATTTTTATACGAATAATGGATGGAAGATAAGAAGTAAATAAAAGTGGTTAGCAAAACAAAATCATCGAGAGTTAGAGGGTTCTAAAGATCGAAAATGGATTTGAGGAGAAATAAATCGATAAACGATTAATCGAAAAAGAAAAATAGAAAGGATATACCAAGATCTATTAATAAGGTCACCAAGATAGCAATCGAAATCGGAAAACAGCTGTTTTTTCTCAAGTCTAATGTCAAAAATTTCGAATTTGTTTACGTTTTCATAATGGAAGTCAATTCACAATAATGCATTTTGACAGCAAACTTGAGAGGTATCGATAATCAGCTGGTCTCCCTTGTTGACCTGTAATCTAGCTTGTCTCCCTGGACGTCGCCTCTTGTACTGGTCTCATACACAGATCGATGAGACGCAACCCCCCGAGTTGAAATAAATATATATAGTACGGGCCCTGCATGAATTCGGAGGAATGCCTTCGATCTCGTCACTTCTCGCTTGATATGAGTGTTGGATGACTGAGCATCCTGAACAAAGCTGCAAAGCTGCTGTTCTTCTGGTCAGGGGCATCTCAGCTTTGGCGACTGTTGAACAATTCTCAGCGATGTCTGAAATCGACTGGCTAGATATCAGACTTCCAGCATATCGTTGATATATCGTCTGATGTACTTCCTGAACTACTATATTATAATTGGGATGCCACATCTACTGGTATCAGCCATAGATCGATGGTGAGTTTAAGATGACTAACCGAAGTTACGCTAGAATGGTTCTAGTTCTTCTGGGCAGGGCATCTCAGCTTCGTTCGTTTGTTGGTGCTTGACAACAAATGACACTATTTGGCTCATGATCGTTGACAGCTGCCTTGACTGTCTGAGTTATAAGAGATATTGACAGTGACTATCGTTCGATGTCGGATGGAATGACTTCCAGTTAGTCGTTGCTATATCCCCTGATGTCCTTTCAAATGTGTTGAGAATATGGATTCTGAACCAGGAACAGTCTGGTGAGCAATACGTTATGTTAGTATCCTTGTATCCTTGCTTCTTCATGTAGATGATTCGTACTCGTCATCTGAACAAATCCGGTGGCGGTTCGAATTACATTAGTTGTGCTGTTCGTAGCATTATCCTTTGAAGATCGCTGGTAAACGAAGAAGTATAGTTAAAGACGGAGCAGTATAGTTAAAGACTGGCTTATTTATAGCTTTATAGGTAGTCATAACCTTTGAGCACCTTATTACGCTTCTGTACTTTTGTTTCCACGTGCCTGGAGAATGTCAGTAGGCTATCAAAGATGACCCCCCAAGTATTGTTGCTTTCTTCACCGTTTGAATTGTCCTACTTCTGATAATGTTAAGTTTCCTTTTCATTTCCTTTGCCTATGATGTGGGACGACCATTTTTATCTTCCGACGTTTTACCTCCGAAACTCAACATATGACTTCAGGCAATGTAGGGTTCAGGATTTAGTTTATAAACTTGTCCAGATCGAAGGCTATGGACAGATGCAATGTCAGAAGAATTGTCCGCTCGGCAGGTCTTGTCTGGTTAAGGCTGTATGATTTTCTTTGGCAGCAGGAGTAACACCAAATCCTTATCAGTCCGTTTTTGGCAATGGGATAATACTTGTCATGTTACATATATTCGGTGATTACCACGATAGATTACCATCTACATGCGAGGGCTTTGAGTGACCAAAACTATTTACCATTCGGATATTGAGGTTGATGTAGATGATCCACGGTAAATATCGGTTGTCCATAATCATGATTTAAATTGCCACTGGGAAATTTGGCGCCATAATTATCGAAATTATGTGCCTTCCATGGCCACATCGGGTGCACCTAAATGTACCTAAGATCATGTCTATCACCAAAATTAGATGGTCTATATCAAACATCTTGGGTGGCTTTAACATGGCGAAGCCCAGGCACTGACCTCCCCGCGGTCACACCTGGGGTAACTATTTTATCACCCGTGGGAATAGTGAGCTGATATGTGCCGCGAGTTCACCCATAAGAACTCTTACTATGAAAAAGCAAAGAAAAAACCAAACCCCCCTAATGTTGACGACCGCCGCAAACGTATAAAGGACCACGACCGGTGAATCTACATTTGTAATGTGCGCAGTTTTTAGAGAAGAGGCCCAGTCTTCGCTTTGGCGGATGTACTCAAGAAGTACGAAGCCGATATTATTGCCTTACAGGGAATGCGATGGAAAGGGACTGGCGTAAGTAATCAGATGATTACGCCCTGTATTATAGCTGCCATGAAACAAGACATGAATTTGGCTGCCGATTTATGGTTAACAGGAGAATAAAAGACCTCGTCTCCAGATTCACTCCAGTAGATGAGGGAATTGTAATAATCCGTATAAAAGCGAAGTTCTTCTACATCAGTCTCATATGCGCCCATGCTCCGTCCGAAGACAAAGATGAACAGACTAAAGACATATTTTACGAGCGCCTAGAAACAGCGTATGACCGCTGCTTTGGTCAAAATCTGCTGATTTTAATGCAAAAATCGGAAGGTAAAATAGTTTTGGCCCCAGCGTCGGAAATTCAGCTTCCATGAAGAAACAGCAGACATCGCACGAGGTTGGTTCGCGGCATCAAAAACATGGTAGTTAGCAACACCAGGTTCAAGCATCTCGATAGACGAAATGCATTCATCCAGTGTTTTAGACGTTCGATCGATCCGAGGAGCGAATATCGATTCGGACCACTACCTTGTAGCAGCCAAGGTTAGCACTCGTCTTAATGTAGCACCAAAGGTGCAATCTAATGTAACACGGAAACCCGACGTCGAAAAGATGCAAACACAACAGGTAGCAGAAGCCTACCTCGGCTAACTTACCCAACTGCTTGACGAAAGCACTCCTTGCCCCGATAATAATATAGAAGAACAATGGCAGAGAATTGCCAACTCCCTACAAACTGCAGCAAAAGCAACACTTGGGTACCAAAACCCACTATCAAGAAATCTGTGGTACGATCAGGAGTGTCGTAATGCTACTGAGGCAAAAAACGCAGCGTATCGGAAGAAAAGGAGAGAGGAGAAACGTATTTTCAGAAAAAAGAAGAAAGAACATGAAAAACGTGAGCGCGAGCAAATCGAGATGTACAGAAGTCAGAATGAAGTCCGGAAATTTTACCAACGAGTAAAACACCAAACCGAAGGCTTTGGCGCAGGCACATCCTCCTGTAGAGACGAAGATGGAAACCTGCAAACTATAGAGTGTGCTGTGTGAACGACTGAAGCCAATGGTCAATGACATTGTTGGACCACACCAATGCGGCTTCAGACCTGGGAATCCACCATTACCAGATTTCCACTCTGCGCCAAATCCTGGAAAAGACCAACGACAAACACATCGACACCATCCACCTATTCGTCGACTATAAAACCACGTTCGACAGCCCTATCCGTTTAGAGGTATTTAAAGCCATATCTGCTTTCGGTATTCCTGCCAAATTAATATGGCTATGCAAAATAACTTTGGGTGGAACAAGGTCAGCAGTTTATGTCGGAAAGGACCTCTCGAAGCCCTTCAATACCGAACGAGTATTCAGACAAGGTGACAGTTTGTTGTGTGACTTGTTTTCCATTCTGCTGGAAAATGTCATACGAGATGCAAATATGAACAGAAATGGCTCTCTGTACACCAAACAGCATATGTTACTCGCCTACGCAGACGGCATCGACATAATGGGTCGAACATTGCGAACGGTAACAGCCACCTTTGAACGAATTGAGAAGGAGTCTTCCAAAGTGGGACTGGCAGTAAATGGCAAGAAGACCGAGCTGATGGTATCAACGCGCAAGATGTCCAGTAGACTCGGACCAACTGTGGAACTTGAAACCCACAGCTTCCAGATAGTGAACGATTTTATATATCTCGGTACCGCCGTAAATAAAGCAAATGATCCAATTTTGAAATTCGAAGAAGGATAGTGTTGGCCAACAGATTCTACTATAGTCTAAGTAAGCAACTCAAATGCAAGGCCACCTTTTGCCAGAACAAACTCACACTCTATAAGAAGCTAATACTACCCGTGCTGTTATATGGATCTGAAGCATGGGTAGTTACGCAAGTTGGAGTTTTTGAGAGAAAAATTATCCGGAAGATCTATGGGCCGATCTGCGTCTTGGACATTGGCTAGTCAATAAAATTCAAAATCAATTTTTCATTTACATTCGTATTATTTTCTTTGTCGTCGTATTTTATTTCGAATAAATAAAAATTAACTTAAATTATAAAATAAATAAATAATTTAATAAATAAATAATAAATTGACTTACTTAATAACTAAAATTATAATACTACAAAAGTAACGGCCAAGTAAAAATAAAATCAATTGGACGCATTATGGGGGCAGGCAGGAGAATAGCAAGAGTATAGAATTGCATAGCTTATGAACATTTCGATGGCAAGGTACACATGGTGGTTTTGGGACAGAACAGCAATCCCTTCGAGCAGGTCATTTTGTGGCCCTTCATTTGGCCTTGGGCATTTTTATAGCAAACAAAATAGCTGCTAATTGAGGTTTGATCGGGTATTTTATCACCTTCCTTGCAATAGTATTTGCGTTTTTTGGTTTTTGTTGGAGTTAGTTGTTGTGGCCGGGCCGTGGTGCTGGGCATTAGGGATAACGAGTTTTGTTGTTGTTGCTGCTGCTGTTGTTGCATAAATGATTGCAGCATATTTTGCTCATCACTGGTTCCCGTGGGTGGTGAGTAACCGGTATTTAGCATTTGGTTATTATTTCCCATGGCCATGGCCGAGGGAGAATTCTGCTGCATCGTGTATTGTTGTAGGATGCTGGCCAATTGTTGTTGCTGCTGTTGCATTTGTTGTTGTTGCATGGCCTGTTTACGTTTAGCCTCTTGCATGGCTTTTAGGGCCTCCATTTGCAGGCGTTTATTTTCGTTTACCGAATAGTTGGGTTGTAGATCGTTTTCGGGATTGCACATGGCATAAGTGCGGGCATCACAAATGCGGGTCTCGGCATTAAAAGCTGTGTAGGGGGGACAGGAATAGGATAAAACCTTGCCATCTTTTTTGCTGCACACATAGTAGCGGGTACAATCGGTGCTATTGGGTTGCCGTACCCCGGCGGCACAGGTAATGACCTCCACATTGGCCGCTTGTGCATTACCACCCATCAGGGGTAATATGGAATTTTGGAAAGCATCAACACTAATGAAATTGCCACCAATATTGACTAGTTGGGCGCCACCTTTGTGGGAGTTCGAAGAGGATATTGGAAATTTGTTGCTGCTGCCGTACGAGGCAAGTGAGGATAATGGATTATAGGCATTTGAGGAAGTTTGTGCGGCTGATGAGGATGATGTTAGGGATAGGGATGTCAAAGGGTTGTAGGAGTTCGCCGATGATTGTGATGATGGGTTATAGGAATTTCCCGAGGGATTGAACATCATATTATTTGAAGATGAGGATCCCGAGGGCCTTGGCATATAATGATTGTTGTTGTTTGTGCTGAATACCGATTGTGAGGCCGGATATTGTTGCATTTGCAGATTAGCATCGGTATGCGAGGGCTTTGGGTTACCAAAACTATAGGTTATCATATCGGCATCATCCTCATCGACGGTATTCGGATATTGGGGTTGATGTTGCTGGACATGATCCTCGGTAAACATCTGTTGTCCATAATCCTGATTTGAATTGCCACTGGGATATTGGGCGCCATAGTTATTACCATTATCTTCATCTGTATAGGAAGAGGAGCCTGATTGCGATTGCTGAGACGATGGGCGTCCCCCCTGTGGCAATAAATTTCCATAATTATCTGTAGTCTGGAAAATATTATTCACATTGTGATTATTCAGATGTTCGCTGGGTGTAAAATATTTATTAAAGGTATGTGAAGTGGGATGGAAATCATTAGGCCTTATGGTATGACCATAATTTGAGGGCGTAGCTGTAGTTGTTGTACCCGAAGGTCTGCGGGTGGTACGTATCGTATATTTATTATTTTCATAAACCGGTTTACCACTGTTACCCGAATAACCATCCACTAGATGATCGGGCCTTTCCTCCTGCGAATCAATTGGTGGATATAAATTTAAACTTTGCCCGTAACTATCCAATTTATCCACAGAGGATCCACCTCCCGACGATGTTAAATGCAGCGGTATGACATTATTGTGAATGATTGTTGTGGGTGAGCTGTCGTGTGGTTTCTTGCCAGGCTTCTTGTGACCCTTGTACGAGTGATAATGATGATCGGTACTAAAAACACTTGAATATCCTCCACCACCATCTTCGGAATTGTCCTCATGATGTAGAGGCGGCGGCCTGGCTCCATAATAATCTGAAAATGGACTTTGGGTCAGAACAATAGGTTGCATAATGGGCGGAGGATAATAGGCAGGATTGCGTATAACACTGGGTATATTTTGAGAGGCAATCATTTGCTTCGACAGTTCCAAGACGGTCTTCAAGGTGTCCTCGGAAATCTTTGGAGAATTGTCTGAGGAATATTCAGGACGTTCTATGAAATGATTTTCTCCCTGTGAAGAGGAGGACGACGATGGTGGTAAGGCAAACAATACCGCTCCCTCGGGTCGATTTACCACAATTTGGGAATTGGAATAACCTCCCTCACCTGCGGAATGTTGCAGATTTGAATAGCGTTTCGGTATAATATTGCTTAGCACCACCTTGGTTTCGGGATTTAATTTCTTTGTCCCTTCCTTTTTGCCACTTGAGGTCTTGTTTGTCGCTCCCACAATTACCGGGACAATTTCATCCTTTTCCCCAGCATTCCCCTCCACGGTGTCAACTTTATTTTTAATATTGAAATGGGCCAAAAAGGCATTCAATTGATCCGGCCTTAAATCTTTCGTAGGGGTTTCACCATTTTGATAGGTCTGCTTCAGGCCTTCCACCAATTGTGACAATCTCTGCAAATGGGCCGTCAAATTGGGATCAATATTACTTGAGGGTTGGCCAATTTCCGCCTTGGTTTTTATCGTCTGCAATACCTCACTCAGTTCCTCTTTTTTCTCCATATCCATAATCACTTCCTGCTTATTTCCTTCCTCTCCACCCTCTGGCTCTTTTTCCTTAATCATAACCACCTCATCATTTCCCTCACGATTTTCCACATGTATCAAATCATCCAATTCGACAAGTTCACCATTAGCACCATTACCACTACCATCATAGAGTTCATCTCGGCCATCTCCCTCCTCCTCACTGCTCACACCCGAACCTATGACAATTTCCACTTTGCCATCATCGTATTTATCATTTTTATGTTCGCCTTCGAATTCTTCTTTAGCATTGGTGACAACATAAAAATCCGCATCTCTATTTCGATTCGATGTGCTTTGTTTCGTGCGTGGTGGGGTTTTGGGAGTCACTTCATTTGTAGCATTCAGACCACATTCCCAATCATCGGCTGGCAGAACACACACGCCCAATGCGTGTTCATAGATCAGCCCTTCTTCGCATTTAGCCGGCACCCAGACATGTTTTTGTTCCGTTATTTCGGTACATTTGTAATAGGCATCGCAGCGGGTTTTATGTGGTCGTGTTTTCCCCGGACATGGTTTGCCTGAAAATAAAGAGAAGAATTCAGAAACAATGTGAATTAGAATTTGAAATGTTTTGCGAATTTCGGATATATATTGAAATACAAAAATTGTTGTAATCTACAAGGCCTCCCTTTGCAGTCGTTTATTTTCGGATACCGAATAATTTACTTGTATATCGTTTTCGTGGTTGCAAAAGGGCATAAGTTCCCGCATTACATATGTTGGTCTCTGCATTAATGGATGTTAGAATGGACAAGAATAAGATAGGTATTTAAAGGGTACAATCGGTATTGTTGGTCTGCCGTATCCCGTCAACACACTTTAAAACCTCCACAATTGGCTGCTTGAGCATTAGTAGTAATTTGGAATTTTGAAAAGTATCTGATAAAGAAATTAATCTCCAACATTTACTATTTGGGCGCCACCTTTATGTGAAGTGGAAGTTGACAATGGATATTGTTGCAGTCGAATGGGTCTTGGAAAGATTATAAAACCGAATACAGATCACCAATTTCACTCAAATATAGCGTGATTCATTTTGAAGTTCCCACAGCAGCACACGTTATTATGTCCACATTGGCCGCTCAAACATTACCAAGCATAATGCCATGTACAGACGAGCGTTCTTCGCTCTCTCATTCGTTTTCGACCCTTAATTATGAAGTAATTACTTAGTTCCCCATACAAAATTGTCTGAGCGAACACCTACTTCTATACGTTGTTCAATTCGAATCACTCTCTGAATCACCAAGAATTTTGTCCCATCTCTCACAATTGAGAGAATTTATCGAAAATAAATTAATTTTGACAGCATGAAGATTTTTTTAAAATTTTCAAACTTTTTCAGTAAAATTGAAAATGATGAATGAAAAGTAAACAAAATTCTAGTTTTTATATATGCAGATGGATGTAAATTTTGTTGTCTACATGATGCAATATGCATTTCTTTCCCCTTTGTTCTAATTAGCGTACAAAACGAGAGACAAAAGTGGGGAAACCCAAACAAAAATTCTCCAAAATTTTTAAATGTGACATTTGAGGTGAGAAAATATAAAAATGTATCGAAAACAACAATATTTTCAGGAAAAATGGAAAACATGAATTAAAAGTAAAGAGATAGGGGTTGATATTATATGGTCTGTTCCCGTAATGCAAGAATCTACTATTTTTTACTACGATAACACTTTTTTCCTTTATGATATCGGAAAAAATAGTAAAAACTCGTAGATTCTTGCAGCACGGGAACAGACCAATAGTCAGGAGAAAGAGAATTATTTTTTCTATTTAGATCCATATGTGATTCACTCAAATATGTTAAAATTGTTGTGTAAAACAAGAAACAAAAGGTTTGAAATAAAAAAACTCTGATGACATGAATTAAGAATAGTGTTGTATGAACGGGTTAATTCATGTACGTAATTCTGAGAGCGAACTACGTTGTTCGGATGCCCGTCAGAACATGACATAAACGCCAATGAATTTATCTCTAATATATACTAGTTGGGCGCCACCTTTATGTAGAGCGGAAAGACCCCTTCTTCGAAATTAAAGTAGGATTCATAAAATATTACGATGTGCAAATGAATGAATTAAATCGTTTATTCAATTCGCTTCAAATTATATTTACAGTTTTGTAAAATTTTGACCCTTTTGTACCTCCCACACTATATAATTAATAGTCCATAAATCATATCAGAGGCTTGCATTCGTTAACGTTTTTTCAAGGCATATAAGAGGCGTGGATTTTTTAAAGAATATTTGTTGAAGACCTCAACTTGGCGTAAATTTAAAAACAAAAATTTTTTTCAAGACCTTAAATTGCCGTGGATTTTTAAAGAATAGTTTTTAAGACCTATCAAAGGCGTGGATTTTTTAAAGATTATTTTTTTAAACCTATCAGAGGCGTGGATTTAAAAAAAAAAATTCAAGGCCTCAAGACTAGATGTTAGGAATGTCACGCAAAAACTGAAACAAGTTGACCATACACAACGTCGTAGATATGTGGAATGAATGCTTGAACAATAGGAGGTGAACGGAATTTTTTCGGACAAATATTTCTTCAGCGATGACTCATATTTCTCAATCGGTGAGTATGTGAATAATCATAAGTGTCGTATTTGGGTTTCTGAGAATCATAATAATTGGATTCGAGGATTCAGACCTGGCCTGTTATGTTGGCTTTGTATGAAATGTCAATTTTTAAAGGAATATCAGAGTCATGATTTTGGACGCCGTTCTCCTTTATTCTTTTATAATAAAAGTGTTTCCTCTTGATTGGAACTTACTTCTTTGAAAACGACGATGGAACGACTGTTCGGATCGTTTTGGTCATTCAAATGAGATGTAATTTTGCATTTTAAATTTGTTTAGACTAATGACGAACCCTATCAACATTGGTGTGAATTGGCTCAGTTTAAAATATATGTAGCTCAATTATATATTTTCGTCCAATCTCAAGATGGTGAACAAAAATTCACACTTTTGTTCGATTAACATGCAATTTTGCCTAGACCTCTTTATACGAAACTTCGGAAAGTTCTTAGCTACCACATAAAGCGCGGTATAAACAGAAAAAAGTTAAGTGTTTTGGAAACATCCATCTCTGTTATAACACATTTTAAATTTTGTTTCGATCTGGCAACTCCTTCAAATAGAAACAGGTCTTCAAAAAAGACGCATCAGCAATTTATCGGGACAAGAAAGTCACAATGATATAGTGAATGTGTTAGTTGAACGTGCTCCTTCATATGCAACATTAAATTGGGTTGCTGAATTTAAACATGGTCGTACAAACATTGAAGATGGACCACGTAGTGGACGCCCAAAAATAGCAAAAACAACAGAAAATATCGCCAAAGTGCGTGAAATTGCTAATATCCTGGGCATCTCAAATGATCGAGTCCATTTAATTTTGCACGAAGAACTAAAGATTGAAAAAGCTTTCTGCAAGATGGGCGCCGCATTTGCTAATAGTCGATGAAAAATGCATAAGAATGAACATTTCTCAAGATTTTTTGGATTGTTTTAACCGAGATAAAATTGATTTTAAGCGTCGTTTCATAACTGTTGATGAGACATGGACCCACTTTTATACTCCAGAGACAAAAAAAAAAAAAAAAAAAAAAAAAACAAGGAACACAATGAACTGAAGAAGTGAAAATAAAAATATTTTTGGAAAACTAACAATTCTTTGACATAGTTTTCTACCGCAGTTTTCTACCGTAGTGGATGTATACCAGAGTTCTTGGAGGGAGGTGTACTGAAGTTCCACATCCAGTTTTCCATTCAGGGTATCTTTAATTCGGAATTTAACTTTCTAATGAGCAAATTTTAAAATCTTAGCATGTGTTGGGCGCCAAATAATTTTTGTTGGGTGCCAAAATGTGTAAAAAAACGTTTACAAAATCTATGTGTCTTATTTTTTGAAAAAACATATTGTAGATGCAAAAAAATAAATAAAAAAATTCCAAACATGTTGGATCAAAAAAATAAAATAAAACCAATATGCGGAACAGTATATTCGGACGGGGCCGACCATATGGTGCCCTACACAACTTCCACGACAATCTAACTTTCTGTGGTTCTATATTCTGAGCGTGGGCAACATTTCGCAATATTTGCACCCTCTTAACCGACTAGAGGTCAACAAATATTACTAATATTCTATACAGCCCTTCTAATTACTTGTCTCGATTCCCGGCTTTCAATTTTGGCCTATCGACTCGATAAAACACAAAAAATTAAGTTTACGGTCCACTTCTTCCCAAAATTATTTTCAGATCATCACCGAAAATTATGGGCGTTGTCATTGACCAAAGCTATCAGCGCTATATAATACAAATTTTGTAATTTTGTACACAAAAGTCAGGGTCTATTTGACCTGCTAAATATTGAGGCATGCTTATTCTTTGGCCCGATCCCCTTCTCCATGTAAAAATTTGCAATGTTTGGACCATAATTGCGGCCTCTGGAGCGACCAGAAAAATAAACAAAAATTAAGTATATGGTCCATTTCATCCCCTAAATATTAACCGATCCTTACTAAAAACAATAAGGGTCTTCACTGGCCAGAACCCATCCTACATGCAAAATTTCGTGAAGATTGGTCCATAACTCTGGCCTGTATCGTGTTTACAAATTATAATGGATAGACGGACGGACACACATGTCTAGATTGACTCAGCTAGTGGAGATATGACGATCGGCATACTTAAAGGTGGGTCTAGGACCAATATTTCGCGGCGTTACTAACTCTTGGGGATACACCAAGCTATAATACCCTGACAACATATTTATGTAGGGTATACAAATTCACGTCTTCTATTCTGAAAAAATATTATTTAATTTAGTATTTAATTTTCTCAACTCAATAATCTGATTCGTAACTGCATGAATCTGCTATTTGTTTACTAGAAGGTCAAGAAACAGAAATTATATGTAGCTATTTGTTTAATCGCGTCTTTATAAGAGATTTTGTTGATGGTGTAAAAGTTTATATAAATTATTATGTGATTTAGTATTTCAAAATTGTAGTTGAAATCCCGCCAATTATTTAAAATCAGGATAAAACAATTTTGTGGTCTGAAAACTAACAAATTTCCACAAAAAGTTTTAAACACTAACACTATAATAATAAAAAACACAATATTTCATATATTTTTAAATTTATAGTTCAGATTTTTTAACTCAATCCCTTCTCAAAAGGTATAATCCTCCTTCAGCCGATTGATAGTGGTGTCGAGTTTCACACGTTTGGATCCGTCAAATAAAACATTATTTTACATACAATTGTTATGTATGAATCCTCTTTTCGGATTTTATGTTCCATTGTAAATCTTCTATTTGTATTGGTCACTTTTTAATTTCAATTTTAATATTTTTTTAATTTTCAATATATATGTTTTAATAATTAATATTTACAAGTTTGTGTTATTACACCATCATTCTCAATTGTATACATAATTAATTTTAATCACTTTTAATCCACATTTTCCTTTTGATGTTTATTTTTTAAGTGCGTATTTTAAAGATTTTCCATTAGTTTTTTTTTATATTTTGTTTTTCAAATTTGTATTAAAATACTTTTATTTGTATGTATTTCCTTTATTAAAATACAATTTTCATTTTCTTTCGTACCTTCGGAAAACGACACAAAACCAAACAGCAGCAATGCAAATAAACCGTAATTATAATTTTTCATTTTGATTAATTCGTTAGTTTGGCAATTTTCGCGGTAAATTATTACGTTATCCTCCTCGCTTAACCGACGACGACAACACCGAAGATAGCTCGCTTCGCTTCGACCGTTCGTTTCGTTTTTTTATTCCTGGCGATAATATTTTTTTTCGTTTTACTTCCGTTGCAGTGCGCTTGCGCTCAGCGCCACAAATGACTGGAACATTTCAAATGAAGCGATTGTTAAACGAAAAATTTCATTTCGATATTAAAAAAATAAACAAATAAACAACATTTCACAGTGAGAAAAAGTGTTACACATGGACACCAGCGGTCAGCCACACACATCCAAACATACGTCGAAGACATGAAGACGAGTCAGCCAACCTAGTCCAGATAGACCACCACTACCAACTATATCGTCGCAGCCGGTAGCTAGTTAGCTAGCCGGTATTAAATTTAGTGCCCATCCATAACCGAATGTGGAGTGTGTTAAATGTGTGTCTGTCTTTCTGCCGGTATGTTTGTATGTAAATCATTTCATTTGAGCCACAAACAAAAATCGTGTTTTCAACATTTTTTGGTTTTTTCTTCTTCTTCTCGAGCAAAGTGCTAAAAAGTTATTAAAGCGCGTTATAATTTCTTCTTCTGCTTCTTGTGCGCAGACCTAAAGAACAACAACAATTACCAGTTAACGCAAACGAAAAATTGACGAAAAACAATTTCCATTTCATTTTTTAATGACATACAAATTTGAGGTTGTTTGTTGTTGTTCCTTTATGTCGATTCAGATTGTAGAGCAGTCATTTGAAGGTTGGCTTTCTTTGGCGTTTTCGTAGGTCGGAAACTCAGCTGATGCGTCCAACTTACCTGTTTGTTGATCCAGCCAATCAAGCTGGATGACTGGATGACCGCTGTGCGTAATCGACGTCACGCTTGTTAGCTGCTTCACTTCACTTCACTTTTGTTTTGTGTTGCGTGGTGTAGGGGGAGTGATGGCTTCTGGTTTGTTATTTTTCCAATGTAATTCTTCTAAAATAAATATTTGGTTAATTTTGGAAATTTTTTTAATGATTTTGAATTTTATAACATAAAGTGTTTAATACACGTGAATGTGATTTTTTTTTTATTATTGCATAATTTGTACAATGTGGATTGGTGTTACTAGGGTGGTGTTGCTAAAAATAGGTAAATTGCAACATTTTCTTTTAAGTTTCCAAAAATCCAAATTAGTTCAAACTTTTGGCAGATACAAAAAAAAATTATTATTAAAAAAAATAAATTTAAAAATAATATTAAAAAAATTAATGAAGCATGTATTTAAGCATGTATGTGTCAAAAGAAAATATTTTGTTTAAAACCACGGATCAAAAAATATAAATATAAAAATATACAACTATTTTTTACAAAATCCATGCCTGTGGTGTGTAAAAATAAAGAATAGTTCGTTAAATCTACACATGTGCTGGGTCAAAACATATTTATACCCTTCACCACACTGTGGTACAGGGTATTATGTCTTTGTGCATATGTTTGTAACAGGCAAAAATAATCGAGATAGACCCATGGTTCCTTTTGAGAATATGCATAGAATCACTTTCCGAGCTGATTTATGCATGTCCGTCCGTGCGTCTGTCTGTCCATGTTAAATTGTAAACAAAGTACAGGTCGCATTTATGATCCGAATTGGATTAAATTTGGCACAGCTCATTTGTTTGGCCCAAGGACGAACCCTATTGAAATTGGGAAAAATCGGTTCAGATTTAGATATAGCTCCCATATATATTTTCGTCCGATTTAAGGTAAATGGTGCACCAAAGTCCCTATATATCTTTCGATTTGCCCGAAATTTGGCACAGAATAATGAATAAGGTCAAGAATGATGTGTGCAAAGTTTTGCGAAAATAGGTTCAGATTTAGATATAGCTCCCATATATAGCTTCGCACGATTTTAGGTAAATAGTCCACAAAAGTCCCTGGACATCTTTTGATTTGCACGAATTTTGGCATAGTGTACTGAATTATGTCTAAAATGATGTGTGAAAAGTTTTGAGAAAATCGGTTCAGATTTAGATATAGCACCCATATATGGCTTCGCCCGATTTTAGGTAAATAGTCCACTAAAGTCCCTGGAAATCTTTTGATTTGCACGAATTTTGGCATAGTGTACTGAATTATGTCTAAAATGATGTGTGAAAAGTTTTGAGAAAATCGGTTCAGATTTAGATATAGCTCCCATATATACACTCTGCGACACATGAATAGGACACCAATGTAATTCATATTAAATTACAAGTTATAAACATATATAGCGAAAAAAATTTTAAGTTTTTGCATTTTTTCAACCACAGGTAGTTCTTAACGAGAAAAATATTTTTCGATATGATATGGATAATGGTTTTTTAAAATAATGCCAATGAATGTAAAACTACTGCAAATTTGGCTTTATAATTGCGTCAGTAGAATAGGACACCCTTTAAAAAAACTCATAAAATGTATAGTTTGAAAATAGTTTTTATTTTGGTTTATTTTTAACGTTAAATTATTGAGATTTGAACACATTTTTGCAATATTAATAATGAGTAGGTCCTCCTCTGTTAAGAACTACTTCGTACATTCTGTCTGGAATGGAATCGTACAACGATTTAATGTAGTCGAGGGAAATTGTGGACCAGGCCTCTTTTATTGCATAGATAAGGTCATCTCTGTTGTTGTACTGCTTACCAGAAGCGTAAACTTTTCTAAATAGTCAGCCCCACACATTTTCAATTACATTAAGGTCTGGGGAGTAAGGTGGCCAGTTAAGAAGCTTGACATTTTGGCTTCGAATCCAAGACTACGACTCCAGCTGTATGAATCGGTGCATTGTCGTGCTGGAATATCCATTCTAGGTCTCCAAAAAAATTTTTGAATTGAGGAAATGCTTCCTGAAGAACATTTTTGTAGCAATTTGCATTCATTGTGGTGGTTAGGAATTGCAAATCGATAGTGCCATAGTATGATATGGCCCCCCATACCATTACACCGCCCACTCGCTATGCAAGCGATCCAAATAATGATTTTCTTTTCGAATATCGTGGAAATAATAATTAAAACCATCTGGCCCCTCGAAATTAATTTTTTTTTCATCAGAGAAGACGACACGGTGCCAATTTGTTTTACCCGTCCAATGCGAACGACAAAATTCGAGGCGTGCCTTTTTACGCGTGTCGTTAAGCGGTGGTTTCTTCTTAAGTTTTAATCTCTTTAAGTGGTCAGCTTTAGAAATAACACGCTGAACAGTTCTTACGCTCGCTACTACACCTGTTTTAGCAAACATTTGTGCTGCGGAGTCGTGAGAGTTTGAAGCTTTTCTAAGTATAGCACGTTTATCTGCTGCTGAAAGTACACTTTTTGTTCGACTTTTCATATTTTTTCCGTAACTTGATTCATTTTTTAAAAAATTGGATACTACATTCCGGCTTCTGCCATTTTTTTTGCGATTTGATTAATAGATAAATCAGATTCTTTGTAAATTTTAATTTTAAGTTTTTCTTCAACAGTCAATGATTTTCCTCGTCCCATTTTTCACGAATTGTAATTTAAATTACTTTAATTACGGTGAAAATTAAAATTATTGACCTTCACATTTTAACTTGTACGAAAAAACTGGAATTTAAAGCAGTGTCTTATTCAAGTGTCGCGAAAAAATACTGTACTTTTACCACAGTACCAAAACAAAATAGAAAAAATCTCATAACGGTACATTTTCTGCACATTAAATTACACTCAAATAATGAGCGATAATCAATAAGAAAAAACAATAACAAATAACATACAATTGTACCTTTCTTTTGTAAAAACCAGCAGTCTCTTAAATAATATTTGCGTTGTCCTATTCATGTATCGGGGAGTGTATCTTCGTCCGATTTAAGGTTAATTGTGTACCAAAGTCCCTATATATCTTTCGATTTGTACGAAATTTGGCACAGCGTACTAAATTAAGTATAGAATGATGTGTGTAAAGTTTCGTGAAAATCGGTTCAGATTTAGATATAGCTCCCATATAAAGCTTCGCTCGATTTTAGGTACATAGTCCACTAAAGTCTCTGGAAATCTTTTGATGTGCACGAAATTTGGCACAGAGTTATGAATAAGATCGAGAATGATGTCTGCCAAGTTTCGTGAAAATCGGTTAAGATATTAGATATGTATTTTCATCCGATTTAAGGTAATTGGTGCACCAAAGACCCTATATATCTTTCGATTTGCACGAATTTTGGTATATGGTACTGAATAAAGTCTAGAGTGATGTTGATAAGCTTCGTGAAAAGATCCATAGGTAGGCCAATTGACACAACGTACTGATGTTATATAAATTAGTCTCTGGCAAGTTTCCCTGAAATCGGTTCAGATATAGATTTATAACAAAACGCGTCGTCTGTTAGGATACATATGTAAAATATACCCAAAGTGGTGAAGGGTATCATATAGTCGGCCCAGTCCGACTTTACTACTTTCCTTACTGTTTTTTTTTTAATATATGCTAGTCTTGGATCCAAAAATAATTGTTAGAAAATCTACGTATGTTAGCCAATACATGTCTGTATTGGCTAACAAAAATAAGTTTTAAAACTGGCATTGAACCTTAAAAAATATTCTTTATAAAATTGACGTCTTGTGTCTGGGCTCTGAAAAAATGCATTTAAAAATCCATGTCTCATATGGGTTCCTGATGAAATATTCTTAAATTCTTGTTTTGGAACTTAAAAATATTTAAAAATGATAATAAGGGAAGTAGGCCTGGGCTGACTATATGACACCCTTCACCACTTTGGGTATACTCTAACCATTTCATATCAATGTTCCTTCGATACGTGACTTTTATCTATAAGTGAACCTACTAACATCAATCCATACCTATTCTAAATTTCACTTCATTCGGGCAGATTTAGAGTCGTTTTTGTAAATCGATAGCACACTTGAATCAAATCAATTGTAATCAAATTTAATCTCACCCGTTCGAAATATATTTGGCAGGGACGT